TGCTGTCGTAATTTTCATTATAAAACGAAATGGGCCTGAATGACAATATCATGAAGATCCAAACCTTTTTGCTGCTTGTAACATCCACACATGAGGCGGTGTGAATACTTTGTGCCGTAATGGCTCAGTGAGCCAGCCTCCTCTTCGTCCTTCACAGGCAGATGCATTCAAAGAAATGACAAAATATCAGTCTAGATTAAAGTGGGAGCACCTGAATATCACCTGAACATGACTGGGGTCATATATTCTCAATGTATGTTTACATGCACAAAGAAAAAGGCAATGATGCCACCTTTTCTAACCCAAAGCAAGTGATTCTCAAATGAGGAGAGGACTGTGGGCTGCAGTGAGCAGTTAGTGACCAGCCGCAGCTGGACATGCTGCTTCTGCCCCCTCCACCGGCACACCTTTCATTATCCAGAACATGATGTTCTGGATCCAAAGGACATTGTCACAGAACCGGAGACAAAACTTAGGAGGGAGGGGGTTGGAATACACACCAGTCGTATGTGCTCTGTTCTGTCTTAAATCACAAAGCCACAGAATAAAAAGGGTGGATTAAGAAGAAGCGATAAGACATTTTGGGGGATTTCGTCCGTGGGCTTCTTTTCAAGATCTCTGTAATCGTCTGCTTGAGATGATTTATCTCTGCATGAGAAAAAGGCTAAAAGGATTCTGCATTGATTACCACCTACTTTAACATCTCTGCCAGACAGTAATCTGTAGATTTGTTAAGCATCTGCCAGAATCAGAAGAGCAAGGGGCATATTTTTCTGACTCAAATAAATAGAAAGACTCAAAATAACAAGGCTTCAGGTCGATGTGTCTGTGTCATGCTGTTTCTTGTGCTGGACAGATGATGGAGGAGTCTGCAGTAACACATGTCTGGCTACATCTGTGTCAGAAAATGTGTTCACCCCCTCAAATAATGAGACGCTCCATCACTGTCAGGCTTGCCTGAAATACATTTTTATATTGTAAGGTGTTGGAAGTTGGAACTCTGCGAATGTGTGCTAACTTTTTATAAGTCATTTTTAAAAAAGTGGATGCAAAGAGTAACTTGTTATGTAGGTCTGCAGTCTCTGGCTAAATGACATTCAAAGCAAAATGACTTCTTCTTCAAGCAAGCAAAATGCACATATGTTTTTCTCCATGAGAAAAAGTGTCCTTGAAGCGCCGCTTTAGCTGAGCTGTAAAGAGCAAAAGGCTTTACAGCCCAGTGAATGCTCTCTGGGTCACCATCTCACATCTTAAGTTACGTCCATGTTCATTTATGTCACACAAGAAGAAGATAAGTCCACCTTTTGTTTGACTTATGCTTGGTTTGTTGTAGCTTTTGTTCAGAAATGCTTGTTTGTTCCCTCAGTTCCTGAACGGAGAACAAACTTTTTCTGATTACAGCAGACCATTTAAGTGTTACAGGCCGATATTTCTCTTTGATATTTAATCATTTAAAATTTAACTGACTGTGACTGGTTAGGTAGAACTGAACAGCGCACCCTTCTAAATAAACACACTCCTTTAACACACTTCACTTTCCCATGAAGCTACTGGATGTTATTTTTAGCACTACATTGATTATCCCATCAGCTTATCAAACAGTACTGTGGCTCTCTGTTTGGATGGTATACAGGACAAAGCTTAGTTTTATAGAACACATTTAACATTCTTTTAAGTTATTCTATAACAAGAACGTAGTTTCCGACACACAAAAAAAAATCATTATTGTTCAACAGAGCACTAAATCCAGAGCTGGCTGTCACCCCTTACAGATCAAATGAAAGACAGGGTGTTCCAGGAACAGCTTGTTCCTCCAATTATAACAAGTAGTCCTGATAAAACCAACACAACTCTTGGACCAGCATTTCTGTACGGCAGCACAGGCCCGAAAAGATGACAGCCAATCTGCCTCTGCAGAAAAAAAGTTTAAAAACTAAGAAATAAAGTTTTCAGTTTCCTAAAACAAAGAAATCTCACAGTAGTTAAATTGGAATGTTGTTTAATAGAAAAAAAAGACATTTAAAAAAACTGTATAAGATAATTATTCTTAAGTTGGCTGAATCAAAAACCAATGGAAAAGACGTCAGAACTATTAAATGTTTGACGTAAACATTGCAGCTAATGGTAGTCGGATTTAGTCCCCAAAGGACTGCACTTGGTCTAATTATCCAATCATGAATTATGTAACAGTGAATCATCAGTGAAATAGTGGCCAGATTCTGGTCATTTTAACCCAGTGATAGATTTCTGTATGGAAAGTTTTACCTTTCTAGTTTCCCACATTTCTTTCATTTCTTTATATGATTACTTCCCTCTGTCTCTGAAAAAGGATTTGGGTGTTTTCTAAAGTTATCCCAAAAAATCTCCCCTTTTTTCCTGACGAGGATAGGTTTGTCAAAGAAAGTGACTGATACTGATAATTGCTTTGATGTGGAAACACTGAAGAGTCATATTTTCCACCTTGTTCTCGTGTGGGTGGTTCTGTACAGGGCACCATTATGGGTCATCTTTATATGTCTGAAAACACCACTTATCTGTTGACTGTCCCAGCCTGCCTGGAGACTGCCAAATATGACCTGCTCAACTCTTCAACCCTTTTACATCCTGCTAAACCAGAGCACATTTTTCACTAACGATACTCAGTCATAGGATATACCGGAGACAGCTCACTTACCCGAACTGGCTCAAAAATGATGTTGAGGTATGTGATGCCTCAACTTTGCCTGACGTTAAAGGGTTAACCAAAAGGACACACTATTCCCACCAGCAAGTGTATAACGAGACCAGCCTCAGAGACAGATATGGTCATGGAGGTTGTCGTCTCTGCTTCTTTCACTCATTTTGGCTCACTGTGGCATTATTTTTAGACTGCATCTATTTGGATCTATGTTTGAAAAGGTAAAAAATCATATTAAAAAGCTCCAGGTGCATTGTGGCTGTAAAGGTGACAAGCACTTGTTTGAATCTCAATTATCTTCCAAGTGTTGTGGCAAATTGACAGCCATCACTCCCTCTGATTGACTTAAGTTTGTTATGGTTCCCTTTCCGCATGTATATACTTTGGCTTTGAATGTGTCATGGACTTATCCTTGCAAGATGTACAAACCCATCACATGTGAGATAGATTTTTTTTTAAAAGCTACAGGGAACTAGACTGGAACTGCTCCTCTGTGGAATGAATTCACGAAAAGAAAGGATAGAGTTTAATTGTTTTGGGGCTCTGAAAACTCTTTTTAGACAGGTTTTATCTCAATAAAGCATGCTGGGACAACATTGAGGTCAGACTCAACACCTCTAATGAACAAACCCATCAGGGGTTCGATTTTGAAACGGTCCATGGAGGTGTTTATTGACATAATGATCAAGTTTTCACTGCTCAAAATATAAAAATAATCATGATCATGACAGGTACACACACACATGCCTATTGAATCTAACAAATTGACCATATTTAAGGAAAAAACATGGTCAAGTCAAAGAGGAACCTGGATGTAGAATGACACCCTCAGTCTTTCAATCGATGAACAACTCAAGATTGTTCCCCTGAAATGTGTTTATTCTAAACCACATAGACAGCTTTTCATTTACTGCAAATCTAGCTACTTGACATTATCAGCGTGAAATAATGGACTCTGAAGTGAATAAAGGAACTAATGAGGAGCATGTTTCAACACATGCATCCTTTCTAAGATGAGATAATGGATCTCTGGTGTCATAGCAACAAGTGGGTCTGGGTGGACAGAGCATGAAAGGTATGATGTAATGACACCATGAAAGGTGCCTGTTTTTTCTTTTCTTTTTCTCAATTTTTCCTGACTAAATGCACTTTGTTTTCCCAAATTAAATATCTCAATCGTACAGAAGGCACAGAGAACTAGGTTGTACTGAGCAGTCACATGCTGTTGGATGCGTTTACGCATAACTTTCTTTGACCAACCCTGACATTGACGAAACCTCAGTTCTGATTTCTGACCAGATGTGTGTGTCTCAGTTCTATGCATATGATTTGTAATCACTCCATTGAAATGATGTGTTGATTCTATGTCTCTGTAGGACAAATGCTAATAAGAAGGAAGAACGCGATGGCAGATGGTGCTGCCACAGATCTTTTTGCTTGAAATAACAAGTCGTGTCGATTGTTCAGCTACAACTCTTTCCTGTGATACGAGCTGTGTTGTAATCAGGCACACACTTCTGTCACATTACTGTTCATGCATCCTGATTTACATCACGCCATGTTAATGCTGCCAGGGAGAAACCAATCCAACTTTACAATTAAATCCATGGACATTACCACGTGTTACACATGTGGACAGATGTGCCAATCACTTCATCTCTGATGAAACCGAGCTAATGGAGCCTCTGAATTTGAATTTGAAACTGGAATTTCAAAACACATTTGAACATGCACATGTAACCTAGGTTCCTAGGTAACCGAGGTACCCTAAGAAGAAAAAGAAGAAAGAGAGAATATCCTTTGGCCAATGTATTGATTTCCCTCTAAAATATAAGCAGGGCTTCATGAGGACAAAGTTTAAATACATTATGTATTTGAAAGAATTGTCAGACAAAAAATGAGATAAATGACATACATGTTTATTCTTTTTCATGTTTCGGTTCGGTTATTGTTTTTATTCTGTGGGTTTGATGGAATAACCATTTACATACGAACAGGTCTTCGTTTCACTGTTTTACAGTCAAAATTATTTTTTCTTGCAATGCATCTCTCAAAAAGAGCAGAAACGGAATAAAAGAGCCATTTTTCACACTGAGGAGTTTTAGTTACAGATGTTTTTGTTTGTGTATTCAATCTGTTGTGCAGATATGGCTTCCACACTCCGCACTAAGGACACCTACACACTTTTCCCTCCTGCTTCCTCCTTCTTCTGACTGGCTGCTGGAAATTCAAGTCAGAATGTCAGCCGTTTCCTGATTGGCCGGGCCTGCAGGGGGCAGGTGATGAATGTAAATAAATACAGAGAGCGGGCTGGAGAGCGCACATGCATCTGCCACTGTTCTCCCATTCAGACCCAACGCCTCCAGCTGCAAAGCTGCTGTTAAACCACTTCTCCAGTTGTGTGAGAGAGACGAGAGAGGGAGGATTCGAAACTCGAAGGGGGAAACGGACGGACATGTCTTTTGAGGTGAAAGAGAAGACGGAGGTACGCCTGGTGTTCCTGGGAGCGGGTGGAGTGGGGAAGACGGCCCTCATCCAGCGATTCCTCAAAGACTCTTTCGAGCCGAAGCACAGGCGCACGGTGGAGGAGCTCCACAGGATGGAGTACGAGGTGGGGGGCGTCAAAGTCACCATCAACATCATGGACACCAGCGGCAGCTACTCCTTCCCCGCCATGCGCAAGCTCTCCATCCAGAACAGCGACGCCTTCGCCCTCGTCTACGCCGTGGACGACCCCAACTCCCTGGAGGCCGTCAAGAGCCTGCGGGAGGAGATCCTGGAGGTGAAGGAGGACAAGTACACGCCCATCGTGGTGATCGGCAACAAGATCGACCGCCACAACGAGCGGCAGGTGTCCAGCGAGGACGCCCTGTCCAGGGTGGAGCTGGACTGGAACCACGTTTTCCTGGAGTCCTCGGCCAAGGAGAACATCAACGTTCTGGAGGCGTTCAGGGAGCTGCTGCAGCAGGCCAACCTGCCCTGCCGGCTGAGCCCGGCGCTCTGCCACCGCCGGGAGACCTTCCCCAAGGAGAGCCACACGAGGCCGCCCATGAACAAGACCAACAGCTGCATGATCTCATAGGGAGGAAGCAGCCACTCACAAAGAGACTACAGAGGAAGCTGGACCGAGAGGTTGTCGCTCACGTGGATGCAACAAGACGGAAACATACCAAGAGTCTGTGTCAGATATGCTAAAGTGAGAAATATAGTCAGCCCGTTCATTCCTCATCACCACGGCAGCAAAGGAGGAGAGGCATGAACAAGAATGTGGTCGAACTGGACACTTGTAATTCTGAATGTTAAAGCGTGAATACTAGCACAGCAGAATCAGGCTTTTGTCTAAACCCAACAATGTTTAATTTGGGTGTTCTGTACTTAAGTCCCATAACTGTGAAATAACCACTGTTTTTGCACCTCCACCTGACTCAAGTGAACAAAAGAAAAGGTTAAAAAATAACTGTATTTGAGGTCATTAAAGTTTGTGATGTGAAAACTTGTGAAGCCTGTCTTACAATGTTTGAATGCATATTTGCATTTTGTGCCTAATATATTCAATAAATCACTGAATTCTTTTTGAAACATTCTTAGTGCTTCTTTCATTTGTTTTTTAAAAAGAACAAACACAAAAATATCAATGAACACACTGAATTTCGGTTAAATTAAAGCTCCCAATAGGTGCCACAGGGCATTCATCAGCAAATAAAATCTCTAGAATGAAAACAATCCTGTTGCTGCACATGCAGACAGGACATGGAGTGCATTCAGCTGTATTTGAGAAAAACTAAATGTTTACAACATACTGAGCCATTTTACCGTGACCTTTTTGCTTCACGCTGAAACACTTCATTTTTTTTTATGTAACCGGTAAAACCAGGCGAGTGGGTTTGCAAGAACACAACAGCTTCACTCAGTTGACATTTCAGAGTTTTATGGGGCTTGTGAATTTTCAACAAATCTATATCTTTCCAGAAAAGGAAAGCTACAGACAGGACTGCTCTGCAGAAAAACCTTATGTCATGCTCTGCTGCCATCTGGTGGTACAACAGATGATACTAGTGTGTGTGTCTGTGTGTGTGCTACATTTGGTGCAAGTTATTGAGGCATGAAAAAAATTTTGCACATTATCATCTCAAACTAAACCACTACAGAATAAGTCAATAAAATAGAAAAATAACACTCCTCACTAGCTAATATTAAAGCTTTCTGTATACATTAACTTGAATTTGATGTCAGGAAGGAATTGCGTTTTTCGAGTTTTCCTTTTAACTTAAACCAGTGGATTGAGATTTATAACTGGTAACCTTTAACAGGTTTTGGATATTGAGATACCGGTTTAGTCATTTGGATTTTGAGGCCCATGGAGCCAAAATGCCTGATGGCGCCAAATTTTATTACTGAGATTTTCTCATGTTCTCTAAAAGCTCTTTGTGATATTGTTGGCATTTCCGTACATGCTTCCTCTTTCCATAGACACTTGATCAAGGTGCATTGTTTCCCCAGAAGAGACGAGGAAGCAACCTGCAACTATCAAATATCTGCTTCCTCTTTGGATGGTTTAAAACTCACTGCTGGTGGATCAGAGCTTTCTATCTGGCACATGATGGGAGACACAGAGGCAGACCTTCTTTCAGGTGCAACTTCATCTTTTCATTCAGTTTTTTTTATGAACACAGGCACAACCTGGTTGAAGGAAGAAATTGAGGTACAAACTTCTGAGTGGAGCTTTTTCCTAGCACTGTAAAATGTACTGGAGAAGCATAGTCGGGCAGCTGCTGTGTGCATGCTTGTCTCTGCTCCTAGACTTGGTCCAAGCTCCTCAGTGCTGTGTAGATTCCTGAGAAGTTTTGAACAAGTATAGGATCTCCGACGACCACTACAGGTAGTTTTTAAGAATTTTAATCAACGGATCCTGTTTTAACATTTAACCCCTTACTAGAACATGCTATTTAAAATTTAAAAAATAAATACATAAGCCTTGTTTTTTCTGACAAAAATGCCAAATGTTTCAGTAATTGTCATCAAATACATAAAGATTGTAAATATTGCTTTTAAAAACAAAAATGTATTTAATTTATTGTAAGTTTGACTGTGCAGACTCAATATTAATTAAATAAACATATTTAGTTCATTTAAATGAACTTTTTCAAATACAGGTTTATTTGACATTTCTAACAAAACTGACAGGCATTTTTGTTTCAATAAGTATGTCTTAAGAATTTAAAACAATACAAACTGAGTAGTTAGTATGATAAATGTTGACATCTAAGCTCACTATGTATTCAAAACTTCTGCAGAAAAGTACCAAAAACTGAGACCATAAAGCGGTTTAAAAATATTTACGATGCACTTCCTTTTAACAGTTTTTATTCTCATCCACTCAGACAGAAGGCAGCGGGGGAGTCAGGTGAACAATAAATACACACATGTTGAAAAGCAGTAAAGACAGAAATGATAAGTTGACAGCAGCACTGAATCCACTCCACTCCAAACCTACGTTCCAACATGATCAGCTTGTAAACAACCATCTTTTCATACAGCCGAAAAACCAAAAGAAAAATCTAGTTGAACCGAATCAGTGGTTAAAGGGAGCATCCATCCTGTACTGCTGCATGGAAGACAACCCAACCAATGCTTGTGTCTCAGTGTGCAAGCATGTAAACGCCCTCAAGGAAACAGGGGCAACTAAACGCGCATTGGCTTGTAAAGTATATTTCCCTGAGCTACAGGCTAAAACAGGACTGGAGGGATGCTTTTTTTGAGGAGCATCATTCAGAAACAGATTAGACAGATGACGCTGGGTATGAACAAGTCACTTCAACTCTAGTCAACATCAAAATAAATCAGCTCTTTCTGCAAGTCAATCATTACAAATGGCATGTAAAAAAAACAACCAAGAGGCTTGGGGGGGTGGAGTTTAAGGTCCATTCAGGCAATAAATATCCCACAACACCTATGGCCCTGCTGATCTGAGCTGCCCCATGATGGAGAACATTTTACCAGACAGTGCAATGCAGAAGCAGAGGGCTGGAGTTTGTCTCACTTCTGCATTCTGGTTGGCTGCGACATGCTTCATTAAATGCTGGGAGCAGCCAGATCACAAAAGCTGCACAGGCAGGGGCCTGGTGAGGCTTGATCTCCCGTTTATTGCAGATTAATCGCAGTTACTATGGTACTTTTGCAGTGGTTAATAATGCACATTTTGTTAACGTTAGCGGGAACACAGAGCTCAGAAAGATCAGCCGTAAACATTATCAGTGTAATAAGTCAGCGGCTCCCCGACACTAACTTTACACGAGGAGCCTGCTCAATATTTCTCATCAACCTGTGCATTTTATTTTTCAAACCATCCCATTCTCCATGTCTTGCGTTTCCACGACTATTCATTTATGTACAGCATTTGGTGCTGAGGCCTAAACAAAAATAATTGGCGGGGCACCAGGAATAAACAGATGTATGGAAAACATGGCCTAGCTGTGTTTAACTGACCATTCTGCTCTCCTGTCAAATTTGGCACAAAAGTAACGTGTCAACACTGTTGGGTCAGCGCTTTCGCCACCCCAGCGCTCTGTTAAACTGCTGGATTCATCCTGTTCACCGCCCCTTTAACCAGCCTGAGGTCGAACGTCTCCCCACGGTCAGCATCACAGAAACGGCATTTTTCAATAAACTGCTGTAGAAAATATAAACATTAGTGTGCGGCTCCTGCAAGAGAATATAAGAACAGGGGAAACACAACAGGTACATTTTGCAGCTGAACTCCACAAATGCATTTGACCTTCTATCGGTCGGAGTAGAAATCCCTTGGAGGAATTTAAAGCATTTCTTTAAACGGCTTGGGACACATGTGAATCATGTAGTCCTGACTCAAACAACAGATGGATGGTGATGCGCCCCGGGCAGCTGTGGATCTGGTCTCAATGTGGCTCTGACTCTAGTCGTCCACAGTGATGTTGCGGAACAGGTAAGCCATGGACTCTCCGTTATGGATGCGGCGAATGGCCTCGGCCAGTATCATGCTGACGTCCACCGTCTTGATTTTTGGACACTGGAGCTTCTGTACTTCGTGGGGCACCGTGTTCGTCACGACCACCTGGAGACAAAAGGAGAGGCTTTGTCTTAAAATCAAACCTCAGCTGGTGTCGTCTCACCTAAAGACAACTTTAGTGCAACCTGACTTTCACTCCGGGTTTCGCAGAACCTGCTCAAAAGGTGATAAGAAGGTTTGTGCAAAGTTTCCCCAAATGGAACCAGGCCAGAGTTAAGATGTCACACTAAGATTAACAGACATAGTTTTTGGTAACTGTATCACTATGTTAGATAAGTTTTGGCACACTATGTGGAAATTTACCCACGGTCCTTCTCCTTTCAGTTCTCATTCCCAATGCCTATGATAGTTGGCACTGGGAGTGGGAACTGTGAAGGAGGATTTATTTTATCTTATACATGTATGGAAACTGCACACCGAAGTCAAAATGGCAGCTGTAAACACAAAAGTGTTTGAGACCATCCAAAAACCTGGGGTTCAGGACCATTACCGGGTGAACGGGATGAAGACGGTAAAAACTGAGACTTGGATAACACAAATTAAACACAACCAGAAATACCATTTTCACAAGAGAAAGTACGTGAAGAGGAACTGAAACCTGAGCGCCGCCTTTCAGAAAAGCCGCTGAAAACTATGCTTCTTTGTACTGGCGTCAGCTCTCACAGTGGTGCCGCTCAGTTCAAAGCATACATTGGGCAGAGAGCTCAGGGAGGAAAAAAAAAACAGAATATCAGAAGCTTATTTTCTTCTATTCAAATGAATTCTGTCAGTCTGTTCTCCTTTGGCCTGTTCTACAGCGTTTGAGCTCCTGTAAGGCAGACAGATGACGAACATCCACATCAGTTAAACACAACCTCACCTCATCAATGGCTGACTCCTCAATGAGGCGTGGAGCGTCCGCAGAAAGTAAACCGTGCGTGGCCATTATATAGATCTTATAGGCCCCTCTTTCTTTCAGGATCTCTGCAGCTGCAACAAAGTCTCCCACGTCATCGATGATGTCGTCCTGAAAGGCGTGACCAACGCATACACAAAAATGTAGTTCATCTTTTCAAAATGCTCAAACAAATAAGACAGCAATTAATCATCATGTGTTTAGTGTTTGGGGGAATGGGTTCAGTTGGTTCTTTGCAGAAGATTTGAGTGGTTTCAGTTAAAGGCAGGGGAAGCCTAAACAGGAATATACATGTGTTAACGACCACGAGTAAGTACTGATAACACAGCAAGCTAAGATGTAAACGGACCTCATAAGTGGTCCACTGGTGTGAGCAATGTAGAGATCTGGATGATTGTTTCGCTCAAAATAAGTCTGCTCTATGGCGACATGTGGCCTAAACCCCCATAAGGCGCTGTGCTGTTTGGCTGTGTATAATCAGGTATGTTCATTCCCAGGCTGCCTCACTGAGTGGTGAAGGCAGGAAAAAAGTAGCCTAACCCAAAAACAAATCATCCTTGCCAATCTGTCTACAACAAGCACCAGCAAAGTGAGAAAAGAAGGCTGGATTTGAAGCCTAATGAAGGCATCTGGAGCTGCCTATTATGCAAAAATTAGGAGGGGTGAAAATTGCTCTTAAAATGCTCAAACAACGCTCTCGTTATCTGGAGGAGGGTCAAAATGGCCTAAACTCTCCTTCCGTACTCTACAGTTCCATGATTTGTACAAACATTGACATGTAAGTGTACATTAAGACACTCAAATCTGCAAAACAGTTTTCGTCAGACAGCTATGCATTTGCACACCAAAACAATAATATATAATGTTTTACAAGCACAGGGGGAGCAGTTTACTTCAGAAATGAAGATTGGAGCTAAAATATCTTAGAGGTATCTCACCACAATGATGGCAATTCTTCCGCCCACATCCCCAACTACAGTAATCGGAGGTTTCTCCTTGGCCATCATTACTGAAATAAAAAAAAAAGGGTTACAGGATCGTTCCACTGCGGCAAGAAGACAGACTTGTGTCCACTCATTAATAAATCTTTGTAGATTGGGTAAAATGGGTTGAGAAAAAGTTTGTAATTTTAGAAAAATGCACTGCGTTTGATTGTACTGAATCAACGGCTCTTCAACGGTTGAAGTGATTGGTTAAAATGCTACACTCAACTGAAATGGAAACTGATCAGTCAAAGACAAAAGCGGAAGCACTTTAACCCCCCCATTCTACCCCCCCTACTTCCCGGGAGACAACATTAAAATGCTAAGCTTACTGCGAAGCATGCCATGCATAGATCAAATGAGAAAGGGGGTTTTCAGCCCAGGATACCCAATCAAAGGACAGTCCAAGCTGCTGGACACACACAGCTTCAGGCCCAGGCTAAAGCAGGCACATGGCAGCAGTCTGCATATGGACCAGATATGCACCAAACACTCTCATAACACACACGGCAACAGTGGCAAGCTCCGATGAGAGTTCCGTCATACACGCTTGCCAGTGTTCAGGGATCGGTCCTCAGTGGAACAGAAGAGCTGCCAGCAGTGAGCCTACTTTTACATGCACACCACACTGAGCCCTTCTTCTCTTTTTGCTTATTCTAAACATATATATACAGAATAGGTTCAGCTTATTTGGACATTTTGACAGCGAACATAAAACTGCTTAACTTTAAACTAAAGGCATTCTTCTAATTCTGTTTCCCACGAATTAAACATCCTGATCTTGTGGTACTATATTCTCTAAAATGCTCATTCGAAATCAGCCGTTAGTAATTAGGCTCAATATGTGTTCTATATATACACAAGTGTATTATTTAAGATTTAAAAAGTGGGCTTGGAGATGACACTGTGTATTCAAATCCCAAATCCAAACATGACATCTGATGCATAACCAAAACATACTGAGCTAGATATAGCTAAGGAATTCTGGTGTGCATATAAATGTAGACAATCAAAGGTTTGAGGAAACAGTCGACTGGTGAACAATCAGCGACCCGAGCTGATTGTGGAGGAACAGTATAAAGAAGCAAAGGAGGAGCATGCCTTGCCGAACAAGGAATACCATGAGTTCCACAGTATCAGAAAACCTGGAAATGTCATATTTAGCCTTTTATCACTATCAACCACGAACTGCGGCTGCCACGTTGTAAGCCTCTGCTCAGACAATCTGAAACCAATTTAAGACATCTTGGGAAAATGGATTAATCAACATCATCTTCAGAAAATAACTGAATCAATGACTGGCAAGTCTTTAAAAAACTAAAGAAAGAAAACAGGAAAGCTTTTCTGCTGACAAAAGTTCTGCTTAAACCAGTCAACTGCTGTGTTTCTACAGTATCAAAAGCATGCCTTGTTGCTGTCATCACATGCAATTACAACCCATAATCAGCTTTTAAGAGAGGTTCAAAATGGGTGCTTCATGTGTTGATTGGCAAGATGAGTCCAGATAATATAATACAATTCAAATTAAATCAAATAAGATGATTGGCGTGGTTCTGATTAGATTTGTGGATTTCAAACTAAACTGAGCACGACAAAACAAAGTTTTGACCATCTTGTAAAAGTGGCTGTCTGGAATCACAGAAAGGTGCAGAAAAACACCAAATCTGTTGATTTCAAGTCAAACATGCCCTGCAAATTGCTTGTAGTCATGTTCAGCCTCGCGTTCTGGCCTGGAGCTGCTGTCAGTGCAAACTGTCTGGGCACCAATATCAGCAATGTTTTTTCCACTGACCCATCTCTGAAACCAGACTGCATTTTAGCAAGATGCAAATACAACCCCTTTTATTTTCTACACATGCAGAAATTAAGGAACAATTTGAAGAGGAATCATTTCATAGTGAATTAGTGGTAAGTCATACTTGGAAGCTCTATGCCGGGGAATGGAGCTTGTTGTTTGCCAGCTATTGTCAACAAATAAACACCATGTTAACACAAATGCACAAATATAGAAGACAAACACATAATTCTAAGACTTGGAAAATCCTCTCCTGAGGTAGGCAGAATTTAAAAACAACAAGAAGAAAGCAGACAGACCATCAAACTCTAAAACAAAGTCCTCTTTTGGCAGGAGCAAAAAATAGTTACAAAAGAGGACTTCACTTAAAAGTCTAAGTTAAGAATAAAAAAGCAAACAAGAGCGAACGGTTTAATGCAAATAATGGATGAAAGGAGTCATTTGCCAACGACACTTATCTGCAAACATATTTCTTCTTACTAGAATAAAAAGGAACATTGGAGAATTTGGCTATTTTCTTGGCTTGTTGTCTCCCCCTACAGCTGCAGGATGGGTCCTACACGCAGTAGTTATACTCCTGAGATTTCAGCAATGTTGCAAAAAAACACACAGACACCATAAAAAGCCAACAAAAAACAGAGGGATTGTTAAGCCAAAACAGTTTAGTGTGAAATGCTGTATCTATGTTCCTTACAAAGGTGTAGGTTTTAAAAAACTAAATAGTTTTAATGGTCAGAAACCTCCCAAGTGTTGCTTTAACACAACAAAATAAATCACTGCAAGTAAAACTCATGCAGTCGCACATAAATCTAATTTTGGAGTAGGGTTAATGGTATGAGAGAGACAGCTCAAAGCAGGTCAACACAAAAAGAGAGCTGCCTTAGACTTCAAAGCAGATCAAAATGAGAGGAAAGTGGCTGCATTTCACCAGTTGCTGATCATTCTAAATTAAATCCATTTCACCTGTGCTTATTCTGACTCTTTAAAGCACCTGCTGTGACAAAGATTAGTTGCATAACGGATACAGTGAAGTCATCTGGCTTTGCAGCATATAGAGGCTCTGGGAAATCTGGCTTCTGTTTGTGAGTGTGTTAAAAAGAGAATCCAACAGCATAAACCCATTAAACCGAGTATGCGCAGGTAAATTAATAAATAAATCAAGCAATATAGAGACCAATGAACCCAGAATAGCCCAAATATTGTGGAATAAAGATGGCTGTTCTTACGTGGTAGTTCCAGTCCTGTGTGTCCTGTGGTGTTGCGCACACACGGTGGGGAGTGTCTCCCATCAGCCATGTCAGACTCAGAACATTGGGCCTCACCGTGAATCACAGCCAGACCCAAACGGAGCCGTTCTGCATAAGACTGAGCTCTAGATAAAAATCAAAAGAAAAAGTGAAGAATACAGGCTTGAGCTTTATCATTCCCTTTTCTGCTATCTCCTAACATACATACCCTATGTCAGCATTATTTCAACATACTTAATTTAATATAAAACTAACAAATCTAGATTCAGGGAAGTAACCGAGGTGAAAGGTGGTTACCTTTTGGCTGCAGCAGGGGACTTTGCCACTATGATGGCGTTTCTGTAATCAGGAATCTGACAAGATGACGAGGAAAAAGGAATCATAGTTTCTATTGGATCCATTTAGTTCAAATATAATTTTCTTTACCGCCAATCAAAGGAAAAAACTGCTTTGAATATGGATTATCACCTCTTCTTGGATGTACTGAATCAAGAAAGGGGAGGCACGCAGGTTATCCACTGGAAAGCTGAAAAAGCCCTGGATCTCTTTCTGGTGCAGGTCCATGGTGATGATGTGCGTCAGCCCTTCAGGATATAACAAACAGAAACTTTATCTTTATGAAGTGGATTTAAAAAAGATCCGCCTGAAGTTTATTCGTTCTCCTCTTACCGGCTTTAGCCAACATTGAAGCTAATAATTTGCACACTATCGAGCCTCTCTTCCTCATTTTGCACTGTTTGCTGTAGGGAAAGTATGGAATAACTCCAATGATGTTCTTAGCGCAGGAAGTCTTGAGGGCATAAGCCATGACAAGAAGCTCCATGATGGCTGTGTTGACATCTCTGGTTGTAGAAAATTAAGAAGGAAAAATAAGTCATTCTTTGATGTTTGGCAAGTGATAGAATTTTATTTTTTAATTACATCTTAATTACCAACTATACTATGGTTAACATCCTGTTAGATTATGCTATAGCTAACATCCTGTTAACTATAGCATCATTTTCTGTTTACCTCGGTATGGTCTGGATGATGAAGATGGTCTGCCCACGTACAGACTCTTTTACATCCACTCTAGTCTCTAAAGAGGAAAAAAAAATGGGGGGGGCGCTTTTTTAAGTAGTTTCTCAAGAAGGATAATGGGAATCTTAGTTTTTAAATACAAATGTGTACTCGTGTAAAAGTCCTCCTTACCTCTGTTAGATTCCTGAAAAACCACAGATTTCCCCAGTTCAACTCCCAGTCGTCTGTAAAGCAAGAGAACAGTACTGCTTCCATATGTTTTCACCAACTGTGATTGAATGCACACACATCCAATCATGGCAAGACATCCTGTCGGGTCATGTGAGTGTACCTTGGCATGAACTACTAAAATCTTTACCAGTACTTGGGGTACAATTTAGAAGGTTAAATGTAATCCCCAGAAACACTGATTAGCACAGTTAAGTGTGGTGGCACACCTTAGTGAGAGGCTCTGTTTGAGGACAGGGTAGCGTTAAACATTAACCAGCAGTCACTACTAATGGCTAGGAAATACTTACTCTGTTATCTTCTTTGCCAGCTCTGTGCATGCTGCGGAAGAGTTTGCGGAAAACACCCGATAACCAGTTTTAGGAACATTCATTCTCGAAACGTAAAGCTTTATGCCACACACGACCAGCGACCTCACTTAACTTTAGCTGAGAACTGCGCTTTGTTTTTCCTTTACAAGGTTGTCGTTGGTTAGCTAGCTACCGCACATTAGCCAGCTCGGCGAGAACACTAACACGAAAGGACCGTCAGAGTACGACTATAAGTAGGCGAGGGCATAGAAGCTAAAGAAGCACAGTTATATCCGTGTGTTTATTGGTTTGGATAACTTTCCGCTATCTAACGAACAACACCTGCCTCTCAGGTTGCACGGTAGCTCAACGGCAGTACAATGAGAACGACGGTGAGCTCAATGGGTCAAGCTTGTCGGCTTCGCTTTGCGGGTTTTGACACGCTGATTCGGTCAAACGACAGATTTATTTAGTCGGCCAAAGTATTAACTTTTTTAAATGTATTATTATTATTCCTAGATTTCGTTTTCAACAAATATCTGAAAGAGATTCACTTAGGTCAGGTCAACCTACTAAATAAATAAAAAAGTATCCAAATAGTAGTTAGTAGTTATTAGTCATTTTCAGAAACTCACTTTCAACAAACTCACAAGATTTAATGAGAGCAAAATAATATGCTGCCCGATTAATCTATATGATTCTCATTGGCAATGCTTAATTGTAGATGTAGATGTTGAGCACTGTTGAACATTAGGTCTGTTGTCAAGCAAATCCTCCCAAGACTTTTTTGTTTTTGGTAAACAATACATTTACTACTTCATAGAAGACAAAGGAAGTCATGAGGATTTTTTTTGGCACAATATAGACGAAGAGTTTAAAATTCTCTTAAATATAACATATTTCAATGTAAAAGTACAGCTCACTACTCCTCTGTCATGAAATCAGGAATGAAGTAACTAAATCCAAGCGAGAGAATGAAAATCTGTGCTGATCTGAGGCTAATTCATTATATAGTATCTTTCAAGTTAATTTACAGTTGATTGTTTTTAGTGTGGAAGAAACACTTCCACTTTCAAGTTGCTGGCGAATCCTTTGCGCAGGTAAGCTGAGACAGACAAGCCTGCCTCTTTTAATATTTCAGAGGGTGGCAGCAGAGGACCGCCTGTGCATGTTTCATTCCTCTGTAAAAAACCTTGGTTGAGTTTGTAATGTGCTTAGTGTCATGGTCTGATGCGCCACGAAAATGCCTCAAAACTATCTATTTCTAAAAAAAGAAAGTATCTGGTTTAAAGTTTTAGTCTGTAGGTTCATGTCATAACACACTAAAAGTGGACATAAATCCTTCTTCAAAATGGTGAAAATTAGAATTTGACAGGTTTGAATCGAAAACACCCTCATGTTTAAGCTTAAATTAAAATGGTTACATAAGATTAGGAAAAAATGTTGTTTTTTTTTGTATTTGAGCTTTTGTTCTTCATGTTTGCAGTATTTTGTCTGCTTTTGTCATTTGTCTTTGTTCAGCATATAATTTGCCTTGTAAATGCCAGTAAACAGGAAAAAAGGGAAATATGAATTGTTTTACTCAATACATTTCAGTATATCAGACACACACTTTTCAGAGATCTCCCCATAAGGTTTTGAGCTTCCTAATCACTTCATTTCTGAGAAGTTCAGGCCAAATTGCTGAAAAATCACATGCAGCTTTTGGGAATGGATTATAAAATTAAGATTATACAGATTCTTCAGAGTATGACCACTAATTGTTTGTGTTGAACAACTTACATTTCTATTGATTAGTAAAATGAGACTAAATGATAAATGATTCTTTTTAACAAATGCAATACAAGGGAATAGGTGGATGAAGTTGGGTTTGTTCAGTAAACAAGGCAACAGATGTGCATTTGTCCTGCTTTCAATTGATCCTTTTTGTCACTTCGTGAGTCATGTCAATGTTTTGTTTTTTCTAAATCAAGACATTTATTGGTCAGAAACTCTTGATGAAAATGGCATCAGGACCTAAGGGAGAAAAAACAAAACCATAGCCATGAACAATGTGATTTATTTAAATGTTTACCTCATAGTGGTTTGCTGGAAACCGCCACTTGGAACATTTCTGCTATATTGAGTTGGATCCAACTAAGTTCAAAAACTTTCATGAGTGGCTTTGTAAAATCTCTGTTTTCTGGATGGAATATTTGTTTCTGTGTCATGTGCACATGTTCAGCAGCTGTCGGTGATTCAAGAGGTTCCCGACAAAAGGTGCCTTCGTTTTTACCAGCAAGCTCAGACTAAAGACCCAGAGGCCCCTTTACAAAAGAGAAACAATATCAACTGTTGACCATTCAGCAGGGACAGTAGCTTAATAGGCTGGAGGAGGACATAACCAGGTTAGCACTCTCTGCTGTTCCTGTGAAGACTGAAATAATGAAGAGGAAATTCAGTCCTTCCAACATCATCAAAGCCATAAACCTCACAGAGACAGAGCCCTAAACCAACCTGCCGCTCAGTGTAAGAGATGAAAGTAGAAGCTGATGGACTTGAATCAGACGGGGACCCAGACAAAAATATCCATTTACACCTAACACCGACTAAAAAAAGTTTGGGCAGTCTTTCTGTGACTGCCAATTTTGAAGAAGATGACGTTATTGTTCATGATGAGAAGAAATATTTGCCAAAATCTACATGTGTAATTCAAAGACTGACATTGAGCCCAGAGCAGTTTATTTGTGTCAGGTTATAGATAGTGATCTACAGTAAGTCTTTAACTCATGGTGAATTATTTCTCAACAGAAACTCTCCCCAGAGACAGACAGCACAGGAGAGAAACCATTTTGTGGGAAAAGATTTAGTTAAAAGATGCTGAAAATGAGAACAGCAGAGCTTGAAGTAAATACTTAACAGGTGATTTTTATGGTTTCCATATACTGATCTAATGCTTTAATTGAAAATATGATCTCTTTTCACTCTTCATTCAATTTTGGCTCATTCATATTTAAAGAATAAAGGGAAACAATTGCCCTGATTTGTGTCTTAAGCTTCCTTTTGTTCCAAAAAGAAGGAAGCATGATGTGAAAGTCAAACATCCATTGACAGTGTTTGGCAGTACTGTAGTGGAAGAAAATAAGAAACCTGTTTTTCACTTTCATTTTAACTTTGATTGATTTCAGTACAATAAGGAACAAGCTGATGTCCAGGCACGGATCAAAGACTGGTTAATTAATAAAAAAGTCATAAGGTGTGTCTGAATATTGTTTTAATTCTTTTCTTTGCAACTAAATATCCCTCTGATGTATTTGGATATCCACCCACAGAATCTTTCCAGATGTTTACATTCCTTCCCATCTGCACGCTTTTCCAGAAATTACAAAATAACAAATACCAAAGATAACATTTAAAATGGAGACAGCAGAATGTAAAATGCCTCACGTTGCAGAAAGTGATGGAAGCAGAGGGCGGCATGGGGGAATTTGCGGGCAGCTTCCATCATCAGCTTCTTCAGGAAACCTGCAAAAAAAAGCCAGCAGTTACACTGGAGGGTTGCATTTCGTGAAGAATTTAGAATCCTCTGATGATACACAGAACTCTTTTGTTTGTCTGAGTGACTTGCAGGTGTTAGTCGTGCTCCAAAGTCATAAAAGTACAAAAGCATCTTGGTTACTCTGTAAACGAGACTCTGATTTACAATCAATGTCTGTGACCAGATTTTATGGAAAGCCTTATTAGTGGGTGAGCTGATTTGGTTACTCTAAAGCCCCACTGTACAGAGTAAAAAGCTTCATACTTGAACCACAGCGTCTTTGAGGTTTTATTTTACAGGCAGTAACCTGGCTTTTATCCATATAAACACCTCAAAGTGTTCAGTGATATTTACAAAAGGACATGCTTACAATAACTTGGCTAAACTGCGGTTATGGGTGGCGACAGAGCGGCTAAGAACTGTATTTTTATTTTCTGAGACGTTTGAGTTCCTGCAACTCCACAGTCGTTGAATGTTAACCTCACACTCTGTGTGTTCCACCAGCTTGATAGTTTATGGCACATTATCAAGAGTCACGTCAATGTTTAACACAAGTCTGAACACATCACCCTACCAGTGGGATGGTCACTTTTAACTCAGTCTTACCTTTTGTTCCGATGAAAAACGCCTGCACAGCTTTGCTCTGTTATGGCAGGGAGGGCTCAGATCTCTTGCCAAAGAGTTCTCCCAACTCACTGTGAAATTGGTGTATGAATGGCGTTACATTTCTCTGGATGAAGCTAGAGTGTGTGTTTCTGAGCTTAATTTCTGGGATTTCTCAAGCTGTTCAAGTCTCGGGCAGCTATGTGCTTTAATATTTTTCACCGGCAGGATTATGTGAGAAGTTCAATGTCATCCCAGGTTAATCTCTCATGAAGACATCTTTGGATACGCTGGAGGAAAAGTTTAGAGTGTGCGCTATTATTTTATGATAATGCCACGACATTTTTAGCACATCCATGCTCAGAAGATGCACTCTGGATCTGTCTATCGAGGATTTTTTTTTTCAGTCCCGGGCTGTTTTCATCCGGTGCCACCTACAAAGGTAAAACGGGCAGAGGGAGAAAGAGGGAGAAGGGGAGGGAGAGTGTCAAAGAGAGAGTACAGAGGCTCCTCCTCATTCGCTGTATGTGTTTCTTGTGTTTTCTCAGCCGGTTCCTCACTCTCACTCTCGCTCAGCAGAGATTCAGAGAGGTGGAGAGCAAGACTTCCACGGGGGGAGAGAGTGGAAAAGCAAAACTGAAATTCATCCTTTCTCCCCTTTAAAGAGAGTCAAACAGGGAAAAGGTAGAGATTGTGTTTATTCTGGGGGAGGGGGCAGTGTGAGCGGCCCAGCCTGCTTCATGTGCTCAGCTCGCTGCACACTGTGTTTCCAGATGGAGAGGAAGCAAGGAGAAGTGGACCACCTGGAGCGACCAAGCCCCCTGACTGACAAGGAGAAGGTGTCGATCCAGGACTCGTGGGCTAAAGTCTACCAGAACTGCGATGATGTTGGGGTGGCCATACTCGTCAGGTATTTCCATCTCTTTCTTTGACCTGTGATCTATATTAAATGAGAAAGAATGCTGCTTTATAGCAGAGTGTGGGCGAACACAGGAATATGGCTTGTGTTTTTACACTTTTCATTATATTTTCCCTCATTCTAAAAACTTTACTTAGTTTGTGTTCAGAATTTTATTGCTTGGCTCACTTGATCATAGTGGCATAGATGCACCTGCTGGAGCCGAAAAACTAAGGGATGCTTTTGTGCCAGAGATGACCACCTTTTCCTTTATAACCTGCAAAGACATACATCTAATCCAGAGTTTGGACTGTAAGAATGTCATCCTCAGAACTCAGCTTGAAATTAAACTTTAATGAGTTTGTTGCCTGTGCGATATTCTCAACTCTCCCTTTTACCTTGAACCTGTTTATCAAATGGTAGAGGCACATGATGAATATAATAATCCATCACTCAGACATCTTTAACTCCCGAAAGGCTCACTCCCTCACAGAGAAGGTCATGTTTTGAATGCCTGTACAGACGACCAGGCAACATACAGCAGCATGACTCCGCCACAGGCAGTAAGACCTTTAAAGGTCTTTTCTCTGAAAATAAGGTGCTTTAAGGTCATTTTTAAAATCTAATAATCTTCATCTGCCACTTAAACATTGGCTAAATCTAATTATGGTGACCTTGCAAAGCTTTTGGATGACTCTCCAATCTTTTTTTCAATTTCTTTAATGAATATTCACATTCAAATCCAAGAGAAGAAACTTGCACCAGCCAACCATCTGCAGCCTTTGACAGTTTTTCATGTGTGACAAGACTCACTGCATGACACAGCCTGCCTTTTTAATCCTGTGAGATTGCAGGAGGTTACATTTTAGGGGTAGAGGAGGGGGATATGACATACAGACCCAGTCATCACTGGCAAAACAATGTGTTTGCCCGTGGATTCTCGATTGATAGGGATGGATAAAAAGCTTTTCAGCAGGAACACGTTCACAAAAAAGCAAATTTCACATCTCCCCAAGGCAAGTTACTTAAAGTAATTGAATCAGCTCCATTTCTATGAGGCAGTTTTCCTTTCACATTCCATCACAAAGGCCCCTAGGGCCTTCAGGAATTTGAAGTTTGAAAAATGATTGAAATGCTTGACCCTGGGAAACTCTCACCCGGGCAGTAAAAATCGATCATGTTGCTCTGCTGAACCTCGGTGCTGATGCTTTCCTCAAGCTCAGTGTCTTATGGGTCACAGATAAGATCCCCATTAGCAAATCAGAAAGGTCTGTCTCTGAAATTAGAAGCTGTCTCTCAGCTCAGCTGTTCAATTATTCCTGAAATATGATAAGGAAGGATTAGGAGTCCACTGACCATATAAAATTCAAATTAGGCTATTTATATGCAACCACAGGTCATGCAGTTGCAAGACAGAGAGATTAAACGCCATGGTTCCTCATTAGTCTGGAGTTAAACCAGAGATATTTAGCTTCAGCAACAACTGAGATACTACACTCTAGCTTCCTTCCTCTTAACACAAAGCTTCAATATGCATTCATATGCTCCAGATCTTTCTTTTTTGTGTTGCAGACCATTCGATTTGATAGCCAGCACACAGATGCTTTGGCTCTCTTCCCAGACTATGGGAGGTGGTGAGCTTTTAAGTTCACTTTTACTAATTCATCATGATATCTTGATAAGGGTCAAGCTCAGGCATTATCAAAGCAAACATCTTTGAAATGACTATTGGTTTTGAGGAGAGAACATCATTTTTAATCAGGGTGGGCAGAAAAGCTGGACCTGCAGCTTGTTTCAAATCTTTATCCACAAGTATGATGTGCAATTAAAAAGCTGTGATAGCAACGGCAGCCTGAAACAGGAAAGGGAAGGACTCAGGTGTGCTTATTAAACCTCATGTAGGCATTGACAGTCAGTTTTGCCTCTCCCTCTCTCTAATTTTCACTTTTCACCTTTTCTTAGAAACTGTGCAGGAGTTGGCAATTTGAAGGTCAGTTATCTTCAGCGTAACCATGTGGCTATTTTGCAATGCCTTCCAAAGAACTTAATTTATTTTCCCCATAAAAAAGACATGTTGTCAATCCCATGCAAGGAACAGTTTAAGGGCAGGATTTTCTGAAAAACATGCAGCCTTCTCCCATGAGTGCCAATGTTTACTCAGGGTATCGTACCAGCTCGGAAAATGAACAAGTCTGCAGGATCAAGCCTGTTTAGGCTGAAGGGTGATAAGGACAGCCAACTTCTGTTCACCATGCTTCACGTCTCTCATTTATCTCTATGACTCATCTCCTTCGCAGGCTGTTTGTGAACTTCCCCTCGTCCAAGCAGTTCTTCAGCCAGTTCAAGCACATTGAGGACATGGAGGAGTTGGAGCAGAGCTCCCAGCTCAGGAAGCACGCTCGCAGGGTCATGAGTGCAATAAATACATTGGTGGAGAGCCTTGACAACTCCGATAAGGTGTCCTCCGTGCTGAAAACGGTGGGGAAGGCCCATGCCCTCCGACACAAGGTGGATCCTGTGTACTTCAAGGTAAAGAGCTGTGTATGTTGCCTATGCATCACCCTACAGTTTTTTTATACACAAAGAGGGAATTCAGATTTAAATTGGTGGCCATGGAGTCAAATTGGCCGTTGTGTATTAGATGGAAGCACATTATGAAGCGCACTAATCGTACTAAAAGCACAGCTGACACCCCACTGATTCTGGCGCACCATCTGACATAGATCTAAGCGACCTCTTTTTGGTCTGTACGATTTATGTTTGAGAGTACCAGTCTAATGAAAATGTTTTTTTTTGGCATGGCTGCTGACTCATTGCATTCATATCTTCCGACATAAAGAAGCATCCATTGGCCATTGTTATTGGCAACTCAGTTTAAAAAAAAAAACAGAGGGCTAGAGAAGAGGACAGCAATAGTGTTCTGACTTCATTGTCAAAGAACACAATTAAAAGACAAAAAGTCCTTACATACTCTGGACCTATTCTTACAAACGGTTGGGATTAAGAGATGAAGAACAGATGAGTTTTACCAGAAAAATAATACAGATAATTCTATAAATCCTCAAAACCAAACTGTTGACAAATAATCTTAATATCTCAATACCTTCCAGAAGATTTAGTTTTACATATTTTTTAAAATATATTTTTTCCTTTCTCCAAAACCTAATTTAATGTGATTCTTTTTGATTTTTCAATCCAATGGATTTTTTTTTGCAGTGGTAAATATTCTCATTTACAACAAATGAACGTGTTTGCGTCTCGCTCAGATTCTGAGCGGAGTGATTCTGGAAGTCCTGGGAGAAGAGTATCCAGAGGTGGTGACACCAGAGGTGGGCTCAGCGTGGACCAAACTATTGGCTACAGTCTGTAGCAGTATCAAAGCCGTCTATGAGGAGGTGGGCTGGACGCAGCTCTCAAACTCCACCGGCTGAAGCTTTCAGCCGTGGGCCTCCCACGCAGGGATGTTTTTGAGTTTTCTGCATTCTCATGAGTCAAGAATCAGTTGACTGTAATCTGGGAATACAGTTTGGTGTAACCCGTGATAATCATGGACTATGGAGTACATATAAATATATATGATATAAACAACAATGGGAACAAGAACTGTACCCTTTTTGTGGCTAACAGTGTGCTTATGAGGGAAAATATGTACAAATAAAGAGTAAAATAAAACGACCTTCCTTGCAAATGTTCCCCTGTAAATAACTAACCCATTTCACAGATAAAGCAAAGACGAATAAAAAGCAAACGCTGGCCCAACAGTGGATGAGAAGTCACATCTGACCTTAGTGTGCCTTCTGCTGAATGTGTACATGTGGAGCGTGGAATATAAACGGCATTCTCTCTAAATATTTAGAATGTTTTTAAGAAATTTCCTGTTATTCGTCTCTATACACTTGTTTACTTTGTTAGATATTATGATTGCTAGGACATTTCTACATTTTTTAACACTCGACGATTGTACTTTTTTTTCATTACACCATTTTTATCTGTAACTGAATATACTTTGAAAAATAAATTTTCAAAGGAACTGAACTGAACTGAACTCTGTACTGATTTTCTCACACTTCTACACTACACACAGACATACAAATGCGCACCTCTCCAATTTTTTGCACATGGCCTACTGCTCCCATATTCTCAGCTTTAGTCAGTAGTACCAAGTATAAGTGGATTAAATGCTGACAGCCTCTCTCTCTCTCTTTTTACCCATTTAGCACTGTGCTCTCGCTATTTCTGACAGATCGTAGCAAACCCTGCTGTTCCCTCATGGGATGTCACGAGAAACTGATTTAGAACAAACCACATGACTTAATCTTTTCTGATATAAGTTAGAAAACAATGACAGTAAAATTCTGATAAAATTATTTGGAATAATTGTCCTTTTATCTTTTATGATCATGCTTCTACAACCTCCCTTGTTGATGGTATACTTTTTGGACATGCTATACAGTGTAGAGGTTGATTTGGCTTGCCGTGCATACAGCATGATGGCAGATTTGGTTCAGAATAGCTACACAGCATGCTCTGTTTACCTCCTGGCCCTGCCAGTGAGACCAAACTCACTCCTTGATCCAAGCTAATCCTCTGTGTTAATCTTCCCAATCATGACTGAGAGCCAAGTCAGGAATAGTCTGATCGTTACACCACAAACTCTGCCGTGTTCCATTCAAGCCTTTGGATGGAGTAGGAAGCTCTGGTGCTTGAAATCGGCAGCGGTCCCCAAGGCAGGACATACTGGGGGTTGAACCATGTGCACCACCATGATGGTCCTCACCACGATCGCTCTCCTCCTGCAACGCCGGTTCTCCAACAAAATCAAACCGTGAGTAGCAATCTCTTAACTGCCTTTTGATATTTAGAAGCAGTAAAAATTTGATGTCTCTGAACACACTCTTCCTGCTTCCTGTCCACAAGTTTAGTTTGAGGGTTTAGAAAAACCTGACAAAAGAAGGACAAATTCAGCAGCAGGAGCCTCCAGAGAATAAAACTTGATTGTACATGAAATAAATTACATAAGATGTTTCCCCCCTTTCCTGACTGCAAACACTCACACTTACACACACACATATACAACAAAAAAATGCATATGTGTTTCATGTGTGGGAGAGAGTGTGAAAGAGAAAGAGGAGACTTATCTGCATCATTGATAATCACTCTTGTGATTATTTTTGGGTTTGCCTTGAGCAACAGTGTGTGGATTAAGTGACTGGCTGCATAACAGCCATGTATTCCTGCTTTTCTAAAGGAGGGATGAATGGAGGCAAAAACCTCAGATGTCTTGAGTTCATAACTACTAATTGACTGAAAGTGCAATCTTCTGGGCCCCATGGGGCTGCTTACGCACTCTCACAGCAATGTCGAACAGTGGCACGTGGCCGTAACACCGTGGAGCACAGACACATCTGGCTCGCACAATTGAGAGCTGATAAAAGGTTGGACCTTCCTCATTTGCAATGAGACCTTCAGTCTGCCTTTAGAGTCTTTAAGACCTGTGCTCTCACAAATGTACCTTCTGTGTTGTGTTCTGTATCTTCCATCACAGGCAGAGAGATGACGGGGAAAATGAAATGCCATACACAAAGAGCAATGGATCAACAGCAACCCCAAAATGACATTGGTGAACATGACAGGGTAAGGACAGACGCCAAACTACGTTCAACTTTTCGGGTTTGCGGATGTGTTTCAGAATACAGACTCAAAAGTAGGCAGATGAGTAGTTCACAATTATTAATTCATTTGTAAGTCATATGAGAAAAAACATCCTTAATGTTTGACATTTAAAAATATAAAACTGAAATTATTACAAAAAGCATATTAATGATCAGATGATTTTAGAATTGTTAAATGAATAATGCACAAGTATATGGAATGTGTTGCTGTTTATCTGGGGTTGGTTTACCATATCTTCATATTTGATTCATACTTTATAACGTCACAATGTGTAACATATAAAGATGAGCCTTCTGCTGAGCTATCATAACTAAGCAAGTTTCAGAAATAATCCAGAGTTATGATTCCATACAAATCTGAAGGGACATTGTATGAAACAATTTTGAAACAAACAAATCTCAATTAAGTGATGACTTAAAAATGAAATGGTCCAAATACACATTTCAGAAGACATAATCCGAATCAGCCATACTCGGCTCGTCTGAGTGTGCAAAAGTGGAGCATGTTGCAGAGGCAAAGACGTATAAAGAGCCAAGACGCCTGCCCCACATTTGGCTTTTAAGTTCTGTGAATACTAAATGATTTAGTAGAAGAACAACAATCTCTTTGCAGGGTTTTGATAAATACATTACCTCTCTGCAACTACCCTGTTGAGCAATGAAAGAAAAGATCTCACTGTGAATTGAATAACTAACCAAAAAACCCAACCACAGCATCATGGTATCCATGCAGGTCGCAGGCTCTTGATGGGATAGCTCCCCAAGTTATAGTAACTCATTCTGTACGACCTCATTTTTCTCCTACAGCAGCTTGGAAAACTGTTGATGTCGTCAGCTTCCAAAATTCCCAAAGTACTTAAGTGATTAGGTTGCGTTATCAGAAAAGAAAAGGATTCATTTTCTAGATTAACACAAATAAGTAAAGTAACTGCATGCCTCAGAATAGGATAAAAAATTTTCTATTGAACAGTTAACGTCAAATGGAAACTTTTGCTTTGTGGTAATTTCTTACCATTAGGTTTGTCAAAGTTAGAGTCTTGCTCTTTCTTTGCAGTTTTCATTCCAACATGACTTTGACAGGCATGCTCAGATAACCTTCCACAGTAGAACCATGCCTCCTATCATTTGTATTCACGTTCATATGCAGACTCTGCAATAGTGCCCGGGATTTATGCAATCGCAGCTTTCATGATAACGCGAAATTGATTACATTTCTCTCGACTGGGACAGGAAGCATCCCCTCCATGAACTCCCTTCTGACACATGAATTTAGCCTTAGGGAAACAAATACTCCCATGTTTGTGTTTTATGGCATTCCAGGCCAGGCATTTTTTACACTGGCTCAAGAGATTATGTTTTCAAGGTCTAGAAGTGGTGGTAGAGTTGAAAGAGCAAAGTAGCGCAGGAACTCAAAAGCTTCCGAGTTTCAGACACCTTACAGAAGTACTTTTAGAGCGCAGATGGCTGCCCCACATTCAGCTTTTAAGTATTCACCACTCTACAGTGCTAACACTAAATGATTCAGAGGCAGAGCAGTAACTCGGCTTCTCTTTCGAGGGTTGTTTTGAATGTGTTACCCCTCTGCAAACTCACTTTTAAGTGCAAATGTTTGATATCAGGATAAACTGGCTGGTAATGAACTTAACTGGAGCATAATGCTTTTGAGCAGGTCTCAGGCTGTTGTTGTGTTATCGTGTGTTTCTTATCTGAATCATTTTATGGAGGCGGACCTGTTCTTCTGAGTCAGGGTGTGTCATTCTCTGATGAGCTTAATCCCATTTTCTTCACCCAAGTCATCATTCATGGCTTTACATGTCAGCAGCCATTAATTTTGCATGAATTATTGTTATGATTCAATGCAAAAAACTGAAAAAGCAATTGTTTGTGTTCTTTTTTCAGTGGCTTTGGATTTCAAGACCTGTTTTCCTGATCGTTATGGCAGAAACTTCATGAGTTCTCTGGTTCATCTCCTCACAAAGCTCAATGGAAGAGTCTCATCAGGAGGATTTTAAAAAAGAATGAAAAGCGGGCTGGTTTTGATCACGGCTTCTTCAATTCTGTTTAACAGATGTTCTCAGTGCTGGAACAGGAAGCAGTGACTATGTCAACATAAGGTTCATTTCAGTTCTGAGGAAGAGACCTGAATAAATGTTGAATTTACAGCTGTAATGTCTGCATTAGAAATAAATTATGACATAACATTTCTGTATGAATAGTCATAGTTTAAAGGGGGCTTGATTCGCTTCTTTCTTCAGTGTTTTCCTCAGTGGGTTAAATGCCTGCTTTGTGCATGTGAGAGATCTGTGAAGTTACAAAGCTCAAAGTGCACATCAAAGGAGGCTGCTCCCTCCAACAGCACACGCTGCTCCAGAACTGCCTGAAATGCCTTGCTTTTATCCATCACTCAAGGGTAGACTAAGCTTTCTTTTTTTTAATTCGTCCAAATTAATACATTTTTCTTTTTACTGTTTGTTGAAAACAGTGAATTTAACTTCTATCCATCCTCTGCTTTGGAGCAGGAAAGAGCTGGACTGATGGCATAGATTGCAAAAAAAAAAAAGAAGAAGCTTTTTAATCATAGAAATTCAATGTAAGATACTGATAGTTCACAGCAGTTATGTTCTAAATGAAAAATGAACACCTCCACACAGCTATGGGGGAAGGTGTTGCATGTGTGTTTTTATTTGTTTATTTGTTTGTTTGATTTGGAAGGTGTGCATTCTGCTGGAGGAGGTTGGATCGGTTTTGTTGTCATTAGCCGTTCGTCAGTAGTTAGCTGTCAGAGGCTTGTGCCTGGTCACCATTTTAGTCTGCCTTCTACAACATGACTGCGGGTATTGTCCTACAGTTAAACAACAATGAATTCCTTTAGTCTTCACATAAGAACTTTTGCTTGACTTACTGTGAACAGTGAGATTAAATAAAAGACTGCAGGAGACATTTTTAGTCACACTTCCACTTTGCTGTAATGTGGATAACATGTTGTAGTTGTAAAGCTTTCCCTTATATTTACTTATCCTCTTTGTTCAGAGGCTAAATCATTAAAGTGTATCAAGATTTTATATATTTCTTTATTCTCAAGGAAATTAAAAGACCACAAAAGTAAAGTATATTGAGTCAAAAGATGCTAATATTAATTATTTTGTCCTTACATTGAAATTATTCACATTTAGTTTGGCTCCATGAAAAGTTCTTGAAAATTGTTTAAAGTGCTGCTATAGCAAGAATTTGTAGAACAAAGAATCAGTGTTTACTATGCAATACGAGAAAAAATGGGGAGTGTGACTCCTTTTCCTTGGAGAATTCCATGGAAAAAAAGTAATCCTGTAGTCACTGAGATACTTCAGATTAATTATTATATTTCTTTTACAACAAGGATGCTTTTTTTAACCACTCTTCAGAAGGGAGGCCTTAAAGACATTGGACAGAGAATTTAGCACAGAAGGTGAAAAGACATGCTGCTGTAAGATAAAACGTTTCTAGAACTTGTGTTTTAATTACTGAATAATCTATACTTATTCCATTATACTATCATAGTAAATTACATAATATACAATTATTGAAAAAACATTATTTTGTACAATAGCATGTGCCTAAACATATAAGAATGCTGTAATTGTATGTGTAATTGTAATCTGATTCTCTGGTCTTAACTTAGTTACTTAACGTGGTTGTTTTAGTTGTTTAGTATTTCATGTATGCACGGACACAGCAGTAATTTTGACTTATTGTACTAGATGCTAGGTCTCCCTATTCTTTTCTGCTCAAATCATGTAGTTTTATGAATGTGACCTGTAGAGCCATCCCTTAAACCAGCTGTATGTTGCTTTGAAACATTTTATTTAATAAATCATTGAAATGCATGTGTGTGCCACTGTGTGCTGCTGAATGTCTAAAGAGTGTGCACCAAACATAAATGAAAAACAGCAAATATTATGTTATTTTCATTTTGTTATATTTAAAAAGTGATTTTTACAAAATTTGTGTGACTATTTTCTTTTGGCAAGCTTATTGAAGTTCAGCAAAAATTGAAATATATAAATTACTTTATCAGAGTGCGACAATACAAACCTGACTAAGGTATGTTTTGAATTTCTTGCATCTTTTCAATTCGGTATATCCCATGCAGGGCTGAAACGCTATATGAACAACTATGTGATCAAATGAAAAAAATCTCCCACAAACAGCAGTTTACCAAAGAAAGGGAAGAATATTCCTGTCAGAACAGGTCATATTTGTTTGCTCCACTGTGGCTGAAGACAGAGGAAAATGGGTATATATCAAGGGAAAAATGTACATTGTCTAATCTAAACTTAATATAGAATGCCATTGGCAACATAATAACTTTTATAATCACTTGATCCCTGACCTACCTTACAGAGATATACTTTGCCAAATAGCCAAATGAACACTGATTCAACTGTGGCTTGATCTCACAGTGTACTGGAGATAAATTATTTGTCCTGATGCCCCCTGGTGGTAAACCAGTCTGATAGACTTCACTAGTCATTTGGTGTATTAAGGACACTGATATTCCAACTGATACTCGAAATCAGCAATGATTCTTTCAAACTTCGTCCAAAGTGAATGTGATTGAGACGCGATCCTCATTAGTTCATTTAAACTACATTACCCAAAATGCTGCTCGAATGGTAAAGGGGGAGTCTGGCTTGCCGGTTGGGAGGATTATCGTGCTTCTTTTGTGAAAGTCTCAAACACCGAAGCTTTCCTCTGGTTTTCTAATAATTCTGTGGTTGTTTATGCTTCATTAAAATGATTTATTTTAGCTAGAATAATTAATTTACTAAGGTGGGCTAGAGGAGTAACGCGCCAAAGGAATCGTGGAGTGTGGTGTCGCGGTGTTATTAGTTTTACCGTTAGGTCCCTGAAGTTAGCAGGACACCTTCAAAATCTGCTCGTGGAATACGAATGATTCTCAGTCTTATCCAATTACACCTATCCAAATTAATCCAACTACCAGTAAACGTTGGATTTATCCGTGACGGGAAAGCTGACTAACGTAACGAAGCGGTTACCAATGGAGACAGGTGACGCCTAACGTGATTTAGCGAGCGTTAGCTTGCTAGCTGTCCTCCAATCTCAACACTGCCAGCTTATATTCGACATGGTGAGTCAAACTATCAACGGTGTTGACATTTTTCCCCCGTGGGTGAAACGTATGTCAAGCTCATTACGCGAAAGTTTTGAGGTCGAAAATGTATTCTAAACTTTTCAGTAGACGAGGAGTGACAAGAATGATTGATAGAAGAACGCCCTTTCCTTTGTAAATGTGTCTTTATTTCTTATTATTTTCTCGCAGTCTGCTAATCTGAAGGCTAAATCATCTGCAAGTAAGGGTCTTGTTATGTTACACCTAATCTATCTATCCATGCATCCATTTAGGAGGTACATTGAAATGTTTTGAGGATATTCTGATATTCCTTTTTTTATTAAATTAACAGTGGAACCACCAGTTCGGTCAAAAAGAAGTCAAAGCGGACTGTCAAATCAGTAAGTTGGAAGAGTTCTTTACTTACCTACTACCACTTATGATGCTTTGGGTATCCCTTTATATCCTTAGTTCTTCTGGGTTACCTTTCATTGTTCTTGCAGATCACTTGCCTCTGATAACTTGTTCAGTTTGTTGGCTGAGGAGTTGAAGAAGGACGGTTTAGACTTTGAGGTATCAGTAAAAAAGCATGTAAAAGGAAGCACATTTACACATTTTTCAGTTGGCTCATGGTTATTTTTGTCTGCCTCAGGAATCCGATGTGTCGTCGGCTGATCCCAGTGACATGGTGAAGAACATGGAGGTAAATGTAAACCGTTGTGGCTGCAAATGCGTTTTGCTTTCAGCTAACCATCCGTGTTATCCTTGAACAGAACATAGATGATATGGAGGATGATCTCTTCGCATCAAAGAAAAAGCCCGGCGCTGCTTCGGCACAAGCAAAGTCACTTCATAATGGAGGGCCAAAGAAAGATTCCACCCTGTTAAAAAGTAATGCCAATCCAGGAGGAGCAGGTGATTCAGTACATAGTGTCCCTGCATAACTAATTGCTTTAGTCACTTTGCTATAAGCTTTGAAGTTTACGTTAATTGCAAGAATCCAAGAGGGCTTTGTCTGCATGCTTTTCCTCAGATGAACCCACCGGAGGAGGGAAGAGGCCAAACTCTGCAGCTTCGTCTGCTGCACGCTCCTACAAAAAGTTTACCTTCTCTGGTGAGAAACTCTAAGACTCCCTTTCGCGCGTTCACAAAGGAGCAGGTTTCTTTTTGACTGATAGCTTGTTTTAAAATCTGCTAAAACTCAGATATCGATGATGGTCTCGCTGAGGCGTCGGACATCAAAGGTACATGAGTGAAAATATGTGTGTACCTTTGTTTTTATGGAGCATTAGTGGTGGCTGTGGGTTGTTTAGTTCTGTATATTCTTAACGTGGCTGGATTAGATTCTGTTTCTGAGACATCCAAAAAAAACTCTCCGTGCAATGTTTAATTAATACAGTAAAACAGTTGTTTCATATATGATATATGTATATTTCATATATAATAAAAAATTATAGTTCTCCCCTAGATAGGACAGTTTATTTAACATGCCTCTTGGCCATTGCAATCCAACACTCTAAATAAGCCGTAGGTGGAACCTTATATGCACTTAAATTGCCTTTTTTAAAGACCCCATTCTAAAGAAGTGGGGGGAACCTTAGAAGTATGGGCTCCTGGCTTGTTTTGAAGGCCATAACAAGTATTCCGGGTCCAGAAACACGTCTCAAGAGTTGTTTTCCCAACTAGTTTGTTACATCCCAACAACTGTAGAGGCTACCAGAAAGCAAATGACCAAACGTTCACAAGTACTGCCCAACATCTCTCATGTTACTTTAATGTTTCACAAAATGAAAAAAATTCCGTATTCAACCCGAAGCGACATCTAGGCAGTTGTTCAAAAACTTCTATTGAAAAATTAGGCCAAAGTCGCCACTTCTAAATGAACAAAGGAGCAGGTTTCCTTTGCTCTCTTAACCATTGAGAAAGACACCTATTTAGAGAGTGCCCCCCCAAAAAAATATTACCCGCCTACTTTCATTATGCTGTTCTATCATTCATGGCCTTTCATTTTTAATTTCCTCTGCAAATCTAGACGACCCCCTGGCTGATCTCCTTGATGACTTGCTTCCAGATGAAACCAAACCTAAATCACGACAGTCCCAACCTGAAAAATCTGTGCCGTCGGCCTCAGCCTCTCCCATCATGAAGAATGAAACAAGTGTGGCACAGATTCTACATTTTTCTCTCTCATTTCTACTAGTAATCATCACTCACTGAATGAGCGTGTTTCTCCTCTGATCGCAGCGAAGGCAGCCAATAAGGGTGTTTTTACTTTTAACGATGAGGACGACGACATCATGGATCAGCTCGGATTTGACAGCAGTAGAAACAATGCCAAGAAAAAAGAGGCTCCGCTTTGGTCTTCAAAGGAGAGGTAAGCTCTCTGTCTTCACTCTGTCATCATCACTGTGGTTGTTGTCCTTACTTATAGTGCTCAAATAATAAATAATTCCTGCATGCCTTGGGCTTTGGCGTGCAGCTAAAAACAAAGCCAGACCCTGACAATGTTTTGGGACCCAACATGGATTCTTTCTGCAAGAATGGCTAACAGGGTCTGAATCCCTGCATGGTTTCTGACGTCCGTTCGCTAACACTTGCAGGAGCGATGCTCCTCAGAGGCCGCGAACCAAAATTGATGACATTTTGGAGGGTTTTACCTCACCGCGCTCTCCGGAGCGACCGCTCTCGGGCGGCCAGAAGGAACAGGTCCAGACCCAAGAAAAGCAAGAGAAGACCCCCAATGTAAAAGGTGAGAGAGAAAAATGAAAATCCAGTGATGTTTTAAAATGGTGAAGTTCTAATCATGCCCCTTCCTTTTAGAGGATGACCTTACTTTCGGGTCCTATCAGCCTACGCTGGGGTCAGCTCCTGAGGGCCGGCAGTCCCGCAGACAGTCTGTCAGGTGAGTCCAGCCTCACTGGACGCTTCAGTCAGTCCAGATCACAGGATTGTCAGACGTGTTTACCAAACTTTTCTTCTCATGGTCAGATTTTCTACAGAGGACGTCAGCGCCTCTACCCCAGAGCGGAAACCAAAACCAGCCACGCACGCTCCCATCCAGCACCGCAACTCAGCCGACTGGCTCGGCCTCAAAACAAACAACGAGCCCAGCTATCTGGGAGGGGATTCCAAAGAGACCCGGATTCCAGTGGACTCTCCAAAGGCCCCCTCTTCTCCTCTGTTGGACAGAAAGCCCTCCTCCGCACCGGTCGTAAAAACGACAGCATCCGCTCAAGCTGAAGGCAAACCCACCAGAGCAGAAGCCTCCAAAGGTCAAAGGGCAGAGGAGGAGAGCGACTGGTTCTCTAAGGTTTTGAGCAGGAAGAAAGCTCCGTCAGAGACCAGAACATCCATGCAGGGGGACGCTGAAGCCCAGGGAGAAAAAGTCGAAGGCGGGTCCATTGTTAGGTACGGAGAATAAACACAGACAGAATTTTTTTTTTTTCCAGAAATAAATACTGATGGGATCTTATTTTCAGCAACCAAGACAAATGGAACATTTCCAGAGGCAAAGAAGACACACTTCTATCCATTGACAGAACTGGGTAAGAATTCTGCTTCGCTGATTAAGCTGTGACAGTATTTCCAGACTTGTGTGTTCAGTGCCGCCTCTCTTCCAGCCCCGCAGCTCATTCCACTCCGGTCCGAGAGGAGATTCCCAAGCCAGGTATTCAGCTCTGTCACTCATCTCCGCTTGGATGCATCTGGGTCTTCGAAGCCTCACAACTATTTTTTTCTTCTCTTCTTACTCATCACAAAACCACTAATAGTGTCCCCCTCCCATAAAGACCCCATTCCTTTCCCATCATCTCCACCACTTCGTCAGTATCCTGATAACATATCCACTCACTCAGCTCAGCCTTCCCTTCCCCCTGCTTTAGCCTCCCCCCCGCCGCCCGCTCCCCAATGTGAGGTCAACTATGAACTACCCCTTAGTTTGGCTCATCCCCCAGACTACCCCGCTCAGGTTACTAGTCCCTTTCTATCACTTTCAGCTGGCATTAGTCACCTCCAGCCCCAATCCAAACCCCTCCACTTTCCATCCAGTAGCGGGTCGGGGGGGCTGACAGAGCCCAGTCAGGCTTCTGATGAGACCGTACCGCCACCACCATTTTCTGGCCCTTTGCCCGCCGCTCAGCACGGCTCATTGTGGCGTAGGTATTCGGCTGAGTAGATTAAGTACTCTTAGACATTGCATCCTGTCTCACTACTCTTTCATACCAAGTTTTTTTAAAACTAATTTTGCATGGTTTTTAACCGTATTCCTTTTCCTCCTTTCAGTTCCACAGCAAAGCAGAACACAGAACACATCAGCTGCGGTCCAACAACAGGTATTTTCTACTCACTACTCCAAGACCATCACATAACCCTCAGAAATTATAATACGGCCTTCTCAAAGCCCCCCGCTTCTTCTGAACAGGTGGCGTGTGCAGCAGACATTCCGCAGCAGCTGCTGCTACAACAGCAGGTAAGCTCCATGAGCCACTCTTTATATTAAGAATATTCTCATCACATGGTTTATTCTGGGATTTGGCTCTTGTTTCTCTCAAAGATGATGCAGACTCGGTTGCTGGCTTCGGCTGAAGCTGGGGCTCTGCCAGGACAGCCAGGAGATTACCGAGCTTTACAAGCCCGCATCATCCAGTTGGAAGGCCAGGTGTGTGTGGGGGGGAGCAGCAGACCTCCATCCTGCTTCTTTTCCGTATCATGGGCCGGCTCAGCCTAAACATGCGTGTTTCACCGTTCAGGTGAAGATGCTGCAGCTGGAGCGGGACCAAAGCCAGATGATGCTGGACAGTATCCAGCAGAGGCATAAAGTGGATATGGAGCTGGTGGAGAACGCACACAAGTAGCTCATGTTTCTCAGTAGTGTCTCAGACCTATAACACTCTGCGTAAAGTGGCCATCCTGTCTCTGTGCCGGACAAATACACTCTGCTCTCTGTGTGTACGTTCCCAGAGCCCGTGTGAAACTGCTGGAGGAGTCGGCTGCCCAGAGGGAGACCAGGGCGCGGCTGGAGTGTGAAGACCTAATGGAGCGGCTGGCCGCGCTGACGCGCTCGGCCGAGGAGGAGCGCTCGGCGCTGCAGGCCCAGTACCACCGAAAGCTGGCCCAAGCCCAGGAGGACAGGGACCGCGAGGTGGAGAGGCTGCGGGATCTGCAGAGGTAAACCTGGGAGGCTCCTTTTTCTCTGCTTAGAAACAATAAATCTGGTGCAAAAGTACATGCATGACTTATCCCACTTTGCTGTCCAGAAAGTCGATCCTAGAGATGAAGAAAGACCACGAAGACCAGGTCCAGAGGCTGAAGCGGTTAAAGGACGAGGAGATCGACGCGGTGACCAGCGCAACGTCTCAGACCAGGTGCATTTCAGACAGAGAGACACACACGGGGAGAAATGACCAGCCGATCGGGGTTTTAAGATCTGGTTCCTCTCTCTGTCCAGGTCCCTCGCAGGCGTGATCGAGCAGATGGAGCAGTTCTCCTCTCGGCTGGGAGAGCTCTCCTCTCGTGTGGAGAGCACGCACGAGCACTCGGCCCACGGCCTGGAGCAGGGCGCCCGCCACCGAGACGAGCAGCTCCGAGGTACGCGCGCCCGCCTTTTAAAAGCGGGCCAGAGCGAGTGTTCTCACCGCACGCACACGGGCTGAGGTCACTCTCCCCGTCCCAGTACTGCAGGACCGTCTGGCCCAGCAGCAGAAAGCCACGGCCGAGGAGAGAACTCACCTCAAGGACATTATTTCCAGGATGGACGCTCAGCTGAGCGAGCAGCAGAGGCAGCTGGAGAAGGTGGGGATGTACAAAGACAGCTTACAGGAAGGGCACGCACTGTTGTACGTGTCACCCAAAATGGAAACAAAGTCAGTTAGTCCTTCACAAAGACGAGAGAAAGCCAAAGTGGGCGTTTCTTATAGAGGCCAGAGAACTCTGAGATATAAGCTGACGGTCTTAATGTGTTTCAGGAGCGCTGGAAGGTGACAGCGGAGCAGGCCAAAGCAGAATCCGTCCAAAGAAGCCTGGAGGAGGAGCGCCGCGTCCTCACCATGCAGATAAGCATGGAGCGAGAGGAGCTGGAGAGGGCTAAGGTGAGTCCAGAAACCAGAACCGAACACCAACTCCACACACCTCCATCCCCCCACCCTCACCTGAATGGCTTTCTATCCCACAGAGCGCGTTGCTGGAGGAGCAGAAATCTGTGATGCAGCATTGTGCCGACGAGAGGAGGAAACTGGCCTCCGAGTGGGCCCACTTCCACACCCAGGAGAAACAGAGGCATGAGAGGGCTGAGCAGGAGGTCAGCAGCCTCATAGAGAGGAGAGAGGGCTCCATCATCACTCTGGCACAGGTGAAACGACACATCGATCAGAAGGTTTTAAGCACGCTGAATTTATGAGAAATTGATGACACCGTGCCACTCCCCCCTCCGCACCCCCCGATCTTTTTGTAGCAACAAGCAGACCTGAAGCTTCGCCATGCCGAGCTGAAACAGAAGGAGATGGCCGTGGCACAGGACAGAGAAGCTCTGCAGAGGCTTAGAGAAGAGCTGGACGGAGAGAAGGAGAGAATAAGCAGCACAGCTCTGAGACTCAAAACGCGCGCCCAGGAGGTCGAGGCCTTCAGCAAGGTGACCGCACACACAACCCAAACCCTGACCGTCTTTTCTGGCATGGAACCGCAGGCTAAATGTAAATCTGCCATTCACCCCACACTCCGCAGCTGGCCTCAGAGAAGTATGAGGAGGGGGAACGAGCGCTGCAGGAGGCAAAGCGCGTGGAGGCAGAGCACCACGCCCGACTGAGAAGTATTCATTCTCAAACGGAGCAGCTGAGGCTGCAGGAACAGCGCAACCTAAAGGTGGGCCTGTCAGTTTTCTGCATGCATGCACGCACGCAGCAGCCGGTGTTTTTTACCATGAGCGTTCGTTTGTTTCAGGAGCGCATGCAGCTAAACCATCTGCAGAACACAGAGAGGATGAGGCTGAACTTAATGTCACCAATGCCACAAATTATTCCACCCATTTCACCAGGTGATGTCAATCAGCTGTCAGTCACATACCCCCACTAGTATAAAGTACATTTGGTCAATTTAAATTGTTACCCCTCTCCTGCAGATGCTGCGTTACCAATCACTGAGCTGACGCCAGGAATGTACAACCCTCCAGTGACCAACCCACAGCCCATGGCCCTGGAGGCCAGTCTGGCTCTGTGGAGGTACACCGCAGAGAAGGTAACCAGTCCAGAATACTGTACTAGCTCTTCAGGCCGATCGCTTGTAATTGGCCCAGAAATGTAAGAAAAATCTCCAAGTTGATGGTAAAGTTCTGCTTTAATAAGTTACATTATAAGTTACATTATAGTAAAGTAACAACTTACCGCAAAGGTTTTAAATCTTGTGAAGAGCCACTGTTTTCTTACCGGTAAACTTTGACTACTGAACAATGCAGGTTAAATGTGGTATAGCTCCATTCCTTTAAGAAAAAAATGCCACTTATAAAAACAGTTCTACCATTTAACATTACACAAGTTCACTTTAGGGCAGTGTTTCCCAATCCTGGTCCTCAAGGCACACTGCCCTGCATGTTTTCCAGCACACCTGATTCTAATGAATGGGACATTTAGCAGCTTTCTGCATAGCTGAAAGCCAATTCCATTTATTAGAATCAGGTGTGCTGGAGCAGGGTTGGGAAACACTGCTTAGGGTATACGCTTCAGTTCACTGAAGACTGGATAATTTGAATGTTTTCACAATTCTGCTTTCTTAAAGTCGAGTTTTCCCCTTCTCACTTAGGACCGAGAATTTCTCCAAGAGGAGCAGATTTTTCTGGAAAACTTGAAAAAGAAGTCTTACAAGTTCACAGATTGAAACACCTGCTGGACCTTTCTGGTTTTTCGTTAAATTTCATTGATCAAATGCACAATACTTGAACGTTTTTTTATACACTTTTATTAAACAGTTAATTTTTTATCAAACAAATGTTTTGAGTGTCTTCTGGTATGAGAATCCAAACCACTTCTCCACCAACTCCATCTGTAGTCAGAGAGAAAAGACAAATGTTATCAAACTACATAATTTAGCTAAAACTGATCATTTATATACAGACAAGCCTCAGGTTACCATGAATCCACACTTTTGTTCAGACAGGGATAACATGTATCATCACTGGCTTGACTTTGAGAACACTGAAGGAAGGCTGTCAGCACTTACCCGTTCCCTCAACTTCAGAACTCTTCATCCACTGGTCTTGCATTGCCTCCGACACAGCTGTACTGGGCAGAAAAGGCATATGAATCCTCTATTTTTTTAATAATACTCCCATGAGCACCACATTTTGTAAGATTTCTCAGAATAGACTGTAAAATCGTCAGTTGTCGCATCAGACGGCACTTCCTATACAGCAGTTTTCATCACAGATAAAGGAAACGCAAAGATCACCACAAATTATTCTGCACAAACCTGGATGAATCAGCTTCCTCCTTTGGTTGGATTCATTCGATGGACCTGCAACAACATGTGCCATTAGCAACAGATCGCCAGGATCATGAGGTGTAAAGCACGGATCCGCAGTGTGTCAGATACCAAAATATTCACTCATTGATTTTCAGACAGGGATAACAAAACTCATCACTTGTACCGCAGACATTGGTTACACACATAATGGCGTGCAGTTTTACCTTAAAACCATGTCATGGTCAGCTTGATTCCACCTTGTTCAAATGGCAACCTGAAAGTTGATTTCGTTCGACTTAGACCCACAGAGACATAAGCTCGTGCCAGCAGAGGCCACGTGTCTGTTTCTGCAGGGTTAAAAAAAAGTTCAAGGATACGGTAAACGTTTACATTTAGCAATTATGATCATCATTAAAGTCGGGGGTTTAATTAACGTCCATAAACAATACTTTGAAACCTTTTAGCTTCTTAAAAATGAACCCCGAATCGTTTTCCAACACGTGTTTGTTCGGCTAAAGCTAACAGCTAACAGACCAGCATAGTGTCAAGAAACGGCAATAAAACAGTCTCCGTAATTTATCAAATAAATTACCTGTTCATGGAGGCTCAGCTGCGAAAGCCATTGTATTCAAGCAGAAGTACTTTTCTTTTTTTAGGGAGAACATAACTAGGAAGTCATTCACTCGTGCACACAAGCCGGCACTCTCGGAAGAAATCCGGCGAAGCTCGCGTGATTCCACTTTTATATGTTGTAAACGTCACGAGTCACGTGAGTTAGATCGGGGCGTTAAATTCTAAAGCAATGCTTTTCGTGCAATTGTGTATATATTCATTTATTAACATAAAACATATAGATGTTACATTAAAAAACATTGAGATTTCACCAGTTTAACATTAGTTATCAAGAGAGTTTATGATTTTTAAATCTGGTTCAAATGAGAATGTAGGATGTAGGCTCCAGAGGAGCACTTTTGTTTTTAGACTATTTTGATTTTCTGCCATAAATGTATGAATGGAGACAGTAAATGTTACACAACGGTGTTTCAAAATGTAATTTTATTGATTTTAATTGGAATATAATCGTTGGGTTTCAATTGGTTTGTTTTCAGAACAAAAATATAGGACCCTCTTAAGTGAAGAGGGAGAGTCTGCACAAGGCATGTTCCGCTGACTCTTACAAAAAAAAAAACTCAAACGAAGAGGTCAAGTTATTGAAGACATAAAAAGGAAAGAGGGAATCTGTCAGTTATTGAATATAAGTGGGACTGACAGACTACTTGACTGTGTTTTCTACTACCTACTGCCATTCCCTCTCCGGTCACTAGGGAGAGACCGTGAACGCACCGGGCTGCCGCCGCTCCGCTTAAAGGGTCCCGCAGCCGGCCGGTGAGCTTCACAGTCCGCACCGCACCGCACCGCCATCCGCACCGGCCTCCCGGGACGCGCCTGCACTCTCCGGGATGGAGAAAGGCGCCTCAGACCCGGACCCGTCCCGGCAGCGGAACGGGTTCGTGGGCGTGCTGTACGGAGAGTTTACGGACACGCTCAACGACCGGCTCCGGTACTCGGTGAGCCTGACGGAGAGCGCCCTCTCCATCCAGCGCATCTCCTCATCACCCGGCCGGACGAGGATGGTCTTCAACTTGACGGACTGTGTGGGCTGCCGGGCTTACCGGGGGCCGGACGCCGTGGACGTCGGGGCTTACTTCACGGCGTATTTCTACCCGTTCAAGAGGCGCTGGATGAGCGCCGGGGTGAGCCGGCAGAGAGTGGAGCAGTGCTTTCGGGTCGCGCTGGTCCAGGACCCGCTCGTCAACCTCCGGGAAGCTGAGAGATGGGCTCAAGCCATCAGAGATGCTTCAGGGCTGCAGGCTCCTCGGAGAGACGGTGAGCATTGTGGGAGTAAAAACAACTCCAATGGGAAACAGACATTATAACTTGAAGTGTTTTATACATTTATGTATATATCTGTGCATATACACTCATATATACACATATATATATGTATTTAAATGTCAGAGAATTGTGTATAACTCTATCTAACACTATCTAACACTAATACATTTGTTTTTGTGACAAAGGTTTGGCAAACAGGCCACCTGAAAACTAAACTTACCTCATCCCATTATTCAGTCTTTTCCTTGGGGACAGGTTTGGCAGGGATGTATCACATTCCGTGTGCTTTAGGTAACCTGCTCTACCTGCCGTAAGAGGTGAGAGGTGAGCCACACCTGCTGGCAGCCTCTAGCTGCTGTTTCCCTCATGCATGAGGCTCCTGCAGCTGCCGGGTGATTAGAATGGATTCTGGGGCCTGCCGTGGAGGGGGCACACTTTACACAAAGGAGATCGCTTAAGCTGTTAAGTTTTTTAACTGAGCCTCCGTCAGCAGCTGAGCGTAGCCGTTGCTCAGGCTTTATTATTTCTGTTCAGCAATTTCCCACAGAGAATTCGGTGTTGATGGATGGAAAAAAAGAAAATCCCATCAAAACAACGTCTGTTTTTCACCCCGCTTTGCAGCAACCTCATCTAATTAGGTCTCAGCGAGTCTTGCTCTGTTTAAAATGCATGCCGTCCTCAAGTTCTTTCACTTCCTTGTTAGTTTCATCTGCGCTGTCTTGGTATCACAGTGACAGGATAATTAACATGAATGGAAAATGAGAAGTCTTTATGCAGCTAATTATCCCCGCTGCTCATTTGTTTTTCATTATGATGCTGTTTCAGAACCCTCCATGCCCTGTCAGGTTGTGTCCCTTTTTTTTATTCTTAACTCTCAAATATAAGGAGCCGTGCAGTCCCAGAGGATAGATGGATATTTGACTTGGCAGGTACTAATTCGGAGTGTTGGCTGCCAAAGATGGGGACAAGTGTAAGTAGCGGGATAGGGAATGAGGTCGGCCTCCTGGCTGCTGCCTGCAGGTGTACACTGCAGACACACACAGAGACTGGACGCTGTGAGGTGAGGAACATCAACCCGCCCTCTGGTCTGCAGCCAGCAGGAGCTCCAGATCCAGACCTTTATGCCAGGCAGGCAGGCGGGCAGATGGTGGCCTGAGAGGTAACTGGCCCCAGTCGCCGTCCCCTCACTGGGCTCATCAAAGAGCCCCAGCCTGGGTGGTTTTCAGTCACACATACTAATTTTGCACTTCTTAGAATTTCTAATCTCTTATTCCTGATTTGCCTCTTTTGAACACGGCAGCCTTTTTAAACATTCCATATTCAGGCTAGCCAAAAAAGAGAGTATTTAAAAAGAATATATAATGGCTTTTAAATGAGTGATAGCTTGCTATTAGATGGAGCAGAATTGCCCCTTTACTCATTATGGAGGATGTATGAAAGTCAGTGTGACTCACTAATCCCTCATAGTGCATTTTCCCCTAAGTTAATTGCATGTCATCTCATCTGGGATTGCAGATGGAAAGGTTGGATTAAAAGTTCAATTACTGCATAAGATTGCTATTTAGGAAGGGAGCTATCATGGTGACACACTTTCGTATGAGTAAATGGTGATTAAACACGGTATTGAACGTGATGGTGTTGCTTACAGCAGGGTTGCAACTCTATTAGTTTAGTCTGTGCACTGAAATCTATTCAGTGGCCGCTTAGAGTTTTATCCTCACGACAACTGGAGTGAAGGAGGTGTAAATAATGAAGTGCATAAACTATGATACAGGCTTGCTTCCGTGTGATTGCGTGCAAAGCAATTCATGTTTTCTTCATTTGACTCGTCAACTAGTTTTTCTGCTGCTCAGCCGCCAGAAGGCCGGCTTCATAATAGATTTGACTGATATTCCATTCAGTTTGGGGTGACAGTTTTCAATGACGGCTTTGAATATTTTACATTTTCCTCAATCTAAGTCTGCGTGTGACCATTTGTGCCCCACGAATAAGGGCCAACGGGAGTGTGACGCTTTTACCGCTTGCCTCCCAGAAGAAATTGGCTAGTGCATAGGAGAAGGACATAAGGGAGTAGTTTCATGTTTAAGCTCCTCCCAAAAAAAGGGAGTGTTTTTCGGCTGCTCGAGGCCCAGGTGTGCCTGTCATGGAGTGATGTCCCTCAGCGGCTCTGCTTCAGGCGCCACGTCTCCCTCAACAAAGTCAGAATGCGTCACAGGACGACCTCTGACCCCGACCAGCATCTGAGTCCCTGTGGAGCTTTCGTCTTGTGCTCTGTGACACATGGATGTGATGGCCTGTCAGACCCCCACCCCCCCATCCCCACCCCCCATCCCCACCCCCGCCTGATGCTGCCTCGGCGGACAGCGGTGTTTAAACCCTATGGAACTCCTCCTCTCCACTCCAGCAAACACTCGGCCAGCCTTAGAATGCGGCTTGTTTGCGGTCTGAAAATAGAGCTGCTCCCCAACCAGCGTTCTCTCACAGAACATTCCTCTTTTTGTCGTTTTCTGCTCCGACAGTTTTCTTGAATGGTGTCATGTCTTGACGAATGCCAGACGCAAAGCCGTATGTGATGCTGAAAGAGAAGGACCATTTTTAGTTGGGGTTTTTCTCTGCACGGTGAGCGGTGCACCCTGTGGTATTCCGACAGGCGTAAGTTGTTTGCAGTGACACATTGTCATCCAGTCTGCCTGTCGCACTATTGTTTGTGTGTGTGCGTGTATTTCCGTACTTTTAACTGTGAAACGAAGGCACCGCAGCTGAAGGAGTGCTTGCCAGTGTGTGAAATCTGACAGACAAATTTCACACGCACACACTGGATTCATCCCCGCTGTTACACACACACCTGCCCCACCTACATAGGTGTGTATTGTGGGAATGTTCAGAAAGCAGTTTGTCTCAAAAGATTCATAAGAATAAATCAACATTTATTTATTACACGTTTAAAACACATAAGTGTGACATGAAAAATAAAAATCCAATAAATAACAGCACATTAAATGAAGTCTGAATAAGTTAAATAAAATCTGATGTGTTGCCTACAGGTCACCTGACATCATCAGCGTTTCATAATTAAAATCTAACCAACACTTCAGCCTACAATACTTTCAGAACAACTCTTCTTGATGCACTTGAATGCATCAGTAATGACCTCGTAACATCTCTTAAACGCGGCCTTGCTCGGACTGGGACGTTCCAGAATCACTACACGCTTGGAGGCTTTTAAAATTATCTAACTTAGTTTTGTTATGGCTACGGCTTCTTAAAAAAAACAAAAGCCACACTAAGATGTCTATGGCTTTTCAATCTTATGCTGGTGCTAGTAGGCCAAAAAATGTGGTTTTGGCCGTGATCAATGTAACTCACCTCTGACCAAAACCAAGATAATGTTCTCTGGGAAAAGAGATCACAAGACCTTGGGAGCCTCTTTTCCATGAAGTCAAACTCTTTAGATTGCTTGTTCTTTCTTAACTGATGCCCACTCTTCATCTTGGATGAGCAGCTCCACTTGTCATAATATCATAAATCTCCATCAAATACCATGTTAGGAAGTTTGTATCTTAAACTCGTGTGATAGGATCAACAAGTCATCCAGGCCTCAGCTACTTGGCTGGATGGATGTAATGTAGCTTTATCCCAGTCTCTGCGGTAAGGTGGGTTTTTTCTTATAGGGGGATCGTGGAGTGGTGGTCATCTTTCAGCCCAAATGACTCTCAATGCTACCTGCTGAATGGCTGGATGACCACATCTCCAAAACTAATGAATAATGAAAAAGGGGAGGGTCTGAGAAAGGACCAGTCTCAAAAAAAGTTAAAACAAACCCTGTTAGTGCCTTCGCTGATTTCCTTGCAATGGATGATGCTTGAGCAGCTTGAAGTGGACAGCAGAAAGTTTTGGGACCAACGTCAGCAGTGACATTTGCGTGTGACTCATCAGCGAAGGTTCTTGTAAAAAACTCATTAGCAAATGCCCTCATACCAGCACACACACTTTCAGTTAAGACACCAAATGAGTTGGATTCTGCTGAGAGAGATGGGTGAACTGAACATTCCTATCTAGTTGATTAAAGAAACTGAGCTATGAAGTCTAAAATGGCATGAGTTAGCATCAGAAAGTTTGGCTGGGCTGCAATTTCCCTGTTTTGTCATTATGCACTGAATACTACTTGAATCACTGAAAACAAAAATGCATGGCAGGCAATTTGGAGGTCTTCAAACACGATATTGTACTGAAGCAACAAGGATTCAAGCTTCAGACTTTTTCAAGTGAGGATGATTTCCAGCTCAGCTCACCTGAGTGCAAATCCCGACTGAAAAGCTCTTTCACTCCCACTGTGGCCAGTTTCCACCGTATTCTGGAAGTGTGTGGAGCTTTTGTGTCTGAAAGCCACATTGTGCTCGGATACACGTAGCGAACAATGGTCACCCTGTGCTGGGCGGATGGAGGCAGAGTTTGGCACATGCCTGCGTGTTTTTGCACTCTCGCTGCAGTCTTCCTGGTGGCTTCGCACATCTTTCTTTGAGATATTTTTGTACCCTCCGCCGTTCCCCGACACCACAAGGCAAAGGTGGAGGAGACTGGCAGTGAGAGTCTCATCACATTGCAGGTCTCAGAAGGAGAGAAGGAGACTGTGACTTGTCAAGAGTACAATTACCAAGGTGTCTTTCCCAAAAATGAATGAAAACAAGGATGAATAAACACTATGGTTATTACAAAAAAAAAACATTTACATTTTTACTCTGAAGTCAGCTAAACCTGCAGCTGCAGTGTATGGATGGAATTAAGACTGATGAGTCAGCTCCCGGTGTCCGAAAATGAGCTGATTTCTGTTCTGCCCTGTCTTACTGGTTTGATATGGTGTCTGAAGAATCTGCGCCTTTTCACACAGTCAAGGGCATCTGCTGTAAAATCTGATTCCAGAGGGGGAGGAAGCTTGTCTCCTCATGTACCTGAACTCATATGTGTCCTCCAGGGGTCCCCAGGAGGACACGCGGAAGTTAAAAGCAGCAATCCTTTTCAGTGTGCCATTTCCTTTTGAGCTGTTTGTATCACAACATTTCAGTTTATTGTTGTCATTTTTATATGCGTTAAGCGATTGCATTAATCCCAATAATTGCAATCATTATTGATATTAGAGTTTTTGGAACTAGATTTCTGCACACACATTATTATATGCAGTTATGGGTTAGATGACTGAGAGCTTTCTCCCTGATGAGTCCGTTTTCAGTTGACAGTCACAAGCAGCGTGGTTGTCAACGTGTCAGAAAACGGCCATTAATAATTGGCAGGTTCCCAACATGTGGATCATTCATAATGCTCTCTCTTTTTGAAAAACGTCGCATTAAAATTAAGCACCATCGTTCTACATGCTCTCACATCCACCGACTGGCCTGCTTCTTTTATTTTTTCCCCCAAAGTTGCATTTCTCTTCCACGCAGACCCCAGGCTGTTCTTCTTGCACACTTTTTGAGACCTTCCTATCATCGTCAGCATCCCCTAACTCCGCTCACCCCGGCCTCTCCCTGTTCTGTCGCAGGTGTGGTGTACACGGAGCTGAGGAGGCCCTGCAGAGCCATGATCCTGGTCAACCCCAGCAGCGGGCGCGGGCAGGCTCTCCAGCTCTTCAACAGCCACATAGAGGGCATGCTCACGGAGGCGTCCGTCCCCTACAAACTGGTCATCACAGGTCAGCCGCAAAGCACGCTCTCCACCGGCGGTCCTCCCCGATGTCATCCACATGTGTAACGGGGGATTAAACCTTTGGCCAAATCGTGGAAAGATCAATCTGAGTACTAGGTCGCCCTGCCAGTTATACACACACACACACGCACGCACGCACGCACGTTGGCATGATTACAACTTTTAATCCCTGCGGGAATTATGCATTGTTTTCATGCTCGCAAATTCACAGGCCGCATGCTCGCGAACACGAGGACGCGCGCATATGTCTGCAAGAGCCCGCACACGTGTGCCCGGTAAAGCATTCTCAGTCCAGTCACGCCAGCCGGTCCACATTCTCTCTGTGTCGGTAATGCTGTTTAACAGTATTGTATCATCATCAGACGCTCGGCCCTTTATGCCATCTTTACGATTGCAAACCAGCTGCGATGGGAGAAGTTTGAATGAGAAATTGAGGGGGTGGTGCACAGTTTACCTGCCATTTCTTAATGTTCTCCCTCCCTGCGCTCGGTTTGACAGGGCAGAGAATTTGACAGGTAAGATTAAGTTGCCTCTTCCAGCATTAGCTGGGCGTGCGGCTGAATCTCTGCTTCAGCTCAGAGTGAGACGGATTATGACAGCGGAGGCAGAGCACTGGGGCAGAAACTGTGCTCGGGTGCTTTTTTTTCCTTCTGTTTTAGCAAGCATGCTCCTCCCGCAAACTCATGGGATTTGAAGGAAGGTCAGCCTCCGGAACGCGACGACAAAACACACAGTAATTACAGACTTCTACAAAAAAAAGGAATGGAACAGGATGTGGATGTGGGTCAGCAAAGTTCCCTCGGTGGTCAGATCCAGTAGCCGCTGAGACTTAACTATGAGGCAGTTTGATGAATGTATCATGTTGTCTTTGCCTGAGGAAGGACAAGGATGCGCTTCTTGTGTCAGTATGTACCTTTTACATACTGTATGAAGCTTGGAATGTGCCTATTTCCTAAGAAACCGAGACAACTGGAATCCACCCATGACTTTGATAGCACAGAATTTATTCTTGACAACCTAAAATATAACGTTTTGTCACCTCTACAGCTCACAGATCAATGGATTATGTGACAGTGCTTTTACTTCAGTCCAAATCATTAAAAAGTTAGAATGCTGTGTAAAATTTGAATAAAAAAACAGAACACGATGATTTGAAAATAGGTTAACTCCAGAAAGTCCTCCAGAAAGAGGTAAAGTCCCTCAGAAGTGCAGACGGAGAGATGTTCATAAATCTGTTCCAAGTCGTGCCTGCAAATTGTGAAGCAAATTCAGTATGATTTTCCTCACCTTAAAGATTTTGAATACCCCGTCACCTATAGGAAACAAAAGATCCGGACACATCTCTGTGCAAGAGACACAAAGACATTTACCGTTGATTGTCTGTGTTCTTTATGCCCTCCATCCTCTTTGGGTTCTAAAACCAGAAGCTGCTTAGTGTGACGTCTGTGTGTTGCTTTCCGATGACCTCTTCAGTGTGTGAGTCTCTGGGAAGTAAAAGCATCATGCCGAGGCTTTGAAGAGTGCTGAGTTAGCCTGTCAGCTTCCAGCCTGTCCTGCAAACAACAAACAAACAGCAAGAAAAACAGGGAACGCTCCGTGTAGTCGGAGGCAGGTAGAGGTTGAGCAAAGTGAAATTAGAGAGTTGATCAATATTTGGGGAAAGCTATTTCCACTGTTGTGGCGGGATCCCAGCGCATCTCGGCCTGGCTTTGTGTCTGCCGTCCTTCCGTTCTCGCTCTTCAAAGCTGTTTCCCGAAAAACAACAGCTACACGGGGGAGTCGGGGCTGGCAGGACTGTAGACTTTAATGCTGGCGGGATGGGCCCGCAGAGACCCCCGGCAGAGGGACTCTCTGAAGGACACTGCCAATAAAAACTAGGCCGAACAAATAGCCGAGTCCTCTGCCAGCGCAATAACCAACACCGACGAGCACGCCGAGCGCACACATGCAGATATTTTGCCCGTCGCAGATGTTTGCCGGCCCGCTAAGCTGCCTCGGAGCTGTTGAGGGGCCACTGTGCGGGCTAATGTGATATGTCTGACATGATAAGGGGAAATTGAATTTCTTTTCTGCCTAATCTCCCTGATCCCACCCCAGAGGCCGGTGATGGATGACGGGAGCATGTCTTTCCCTCCTCCTCTGCTCCTAAAGTTGTTTTTTTTTTTAGTTTGTTCAACACATTTGCTGTTTTTGTGTGTTTTATATTGTTTCCCCCTATGCTTTGCGTCACTCAGAGCACCAGAACCACGCACGGGAGTTGGTGAGGAAGGCCGACCTGTCACAGTGGGACGCCCTGGTTATTATGTCCGGTGACGGGCTGCTGTTTGAGGTAACCAGCCTGTGTAAGCCTTCTTGCAACAGCACAATAATACAAATTTGCTCAGGTGACAAGCCTCTTGGACAAAAGAAAATCTATGGTGCGAGACAAATGACTGTGGAGCTTTTAGTCATGGATGGACTATTCCTTATGTTCTGTTTCTGTGTTTGTTAATTCAGGTGATAAATGGTCTGATGGACAGAGAAGACTGGCAAGAAGCCATTCAGACACCTCTGGGTATCCTACCAGGTGGCTCTGGCAACGCCCTGGCTGCATCTGTCCACCACTACTCACAGTGAGTCATTCTATTAATGAGTCATTTATATTCATGGCAAAGCCGTGCAAAAGAGGAGCCTTTTTTTTTTATCCTATAAGACCATTCGTCTCCTTCCTGTGTAATTATACTTAAGGCTGACTGGGCACATTTTTTCCTCAGGAGGAACGGTGGTCGCTTTGCTTTGCAGCAAAAGGTCACTTAAGGTTGCTTAAGCTCTCAAATGAATGGTGTAATAGGTTTAAACAAAAATAATTATTTATAAAAGAGCTGTGACAGATTGTGGCACAGGGTGCAGCTGTGGAGCGTGTTGACCCAGCACATGTCCAGGGTATCATCTCCATCTGCTGGTTTGTCGCTGGCACAACATCAGAGAAAAAGCTCTAGTGAGTGGAAAACACCATGAGCACATCTGCCTTACAAGCTGTCAGTGGATGACACTGAAGCAGCTAAAACCTGCTGAGCTATGGGCTATTAGACCTGATGAACAGTTTGCAGAAGATCTTCCAAGCCTTGTACCTTAAGATTAGAGCTCACAGAAGCTCATTTGAGTTCGGGAGCATGCATAGAGCAAGTTTGCCAGTTTGTGCCGTCTTCCCCCATCTTCAGTGGGCACAGTTGCCACAACTTTAAGCTGAGTGCCCTTAAACTGTTGTGACTAAGTGGTCCACCTAAAATACAGTCATGGGGAAAAAAGAAAGCACCCCTTTTTATGTAAAGGATATTACAGATGAAAAAAAGAATGACATTTTCAGAAAGTGACGTTTTATTGTCAGAAGAAGTATGCAAGGTTGTGCCTGGAAAACAAAGGTTTTTTAAACACTGCATCTACACTTTTTGGTTTATATGGTGCAGTGTGAGCTGGTTTGATGTTCATCTGAAGATGTAGAGCGATAAAGGGTGTACTTTTCATATGATTAATATGTAATGCCAGTCACTTTTCTTTTGTTAGTCTATCTATGTCAAACTCACTAAGATAAATGGCCGGTTCCTGAAGAACATTAGTCTAATTTACATAGCAGGTCCTGATGTTTTGGCTCACTGGTTTAACTGCCATCGTATTGTTGCTATACCTGCTACATATACGTCTGCTTCTGCTTCATATATAATATTTTGGTTCATCTCCACTTTACACAGGGAGCTGTTGGAAAGTGTTAACACATCCAGCAAAGACGATGAGCACGCTGATGCAGTTAACCATCAATGTTTAATTCTTTGTGAATGTGTTCGCATGCCGTAGCTTGACACCCTTTATTGTATTTAAATATTAACCGAACCCAACGAATGATGGCATCACCACTACGTTGTGTTTTAACGGGGGCCTGCCCGGCGTCAGCTAAGAAAAATAAATAAATTCAGCCATATGTAAATCTGCGCCCTCATTTCTGCGCTCGGTGCAACGGTGGGACTAAATGTTCAGTGTGTTAAAGAGCACGGGAGCCAAAAGGGAGGCTGAAGAAGCATTCTAGAGTAAGGCATTTAACGTAAGCATGAAAAATAGATCAAATTTGCAAGACGAGGATCCAACACAGAACTGAGGAAACCTGTGCTCACTCATACAGAGGGAAGCAAAAAGGGGCAAATGAGGGTCAGGTGAGGCAGTAGTCTAAATAGCTTATGGTTTTTAAATACCACCAAACTCTTTTTGCAAAAACAATCCCCACCATCATTACCAAACCAAAGATATGGTATATAATGAAAGAAAGAGACCGTTTACAGAGAAATGTTATATGTACCTTTATGTTTTCTAGACTTAGCATACAGTAAAGAAAATCCTGCAGTTGCTGCTCTGTAACTGATAGTTCTAACCCCCGCTGATGACGATGCGCTCTGCTGTAATTACTTCTAAGTCCCCGTGTCTGTAACTGCCCGCCAGGTTGCCTCCAGCATGGAACGAGGAGCTGCTCCTGAGCTGCGGCTTCATTCTGTGCAAAGGTCTGGTGGGCTCTCTGGACCTGGTGTCCGTCCGGCTGGCGTCCAGGCAGCGGCTCTTCTCCTTCCTCTCGCTGGCCTGGGGCTTCGTGGCGGACGTGGACATCGAGAGCGAGAAGTACCGCCACGTGGGCGCCATCCGCTTCCTGATGGGCACCCTGGTGCGCCTGGCCTCCCTGCGGGTCTACAAGGGCAGGCTGGCCTATCTGCCCGTCAAAGGAGCGTCCGAACCTCCGAAAGGAAGCACGCGGGCAAACCCTCCACCCCCCACGCCCCAGCGCCCCTCGCTGTGCTCCTCCCTGCCCTGCCGCCTCGCCCCAAACGCCTCGCCGAAGCCGGACTCCCGCCACAGCGCCAACTCGAACCACGGCGCCATCACCAACTCCTCCATTAACGCCGTCAACAGCAAGGCCGCCAGCCCCGCGGACTCCCTGCTGCCCGGCCTGGACCGGCCGGTCCCGGAGGGCTGGACGGTGGTCCGGGAGGAGGACTTTGTCCTGGTGCTGGCCATTTACCAGTCCCACCTGGCCGAGGACCTGTGGACGGCCCCCGGGGCGGCGGCGGACGACGGGGTGATCCACCTGTTCTACGTGACGGCGGGGATCTCGCGGCCCGCCCTCCTGCGCCTCTTCCTGGCCATGGAGAAGGGCGCCCACCTGGCCTGCGACTGCCCCCACCTGGTGTACCAGAGAGTGAGGGCCCTGCGGCTGGAGCCCAGCTCCCTGCAGGGCATGATCACCGTGGACGGGGAGATGGTGGAGTACGGCCCCGTGGAGGCTCAGGTCCACCCGGGCCTGGCCAGACTCATATGCGGGTGAACTCGCACCGCTGTCTTTTTCTAGCGAAGCCTTTTTTAAATACTCAGAGTCGGGTTTTCTTTGTGTATGCTGTATTTTCAGAAGTGCCAAAGACATTTCATCAGCCTCTGGAAATTTCCTTTATTTTTCTACAGAGACAGAGACAACTCGTCCTATTTTTCTGGACCCCGTCCCTTTTTCTCCCTCTCAGCGTTCAATTCAGGGTAAAAGCCATGGGGAGTTGTTCTCGTTTCTGGCCGGTCCAGGCTTAGAGAGAGAGAGAGAGGGTTCGGGGTAGGATCGTGTGTGTGTGTCTGTTTGTGTGTGTGTGTGCACATGGATATAGAGAGTGATCTGTACGTGTCTGTATGTGTGGGGTTGTGCATGAGCGGCTTTGGCAATGCGGTGGCTGAGGAGCGCGGTGTGCACTCCGCTGTCGGACCTCATAAGCATGGCACGTGTGAAGAGAAGCACATTTTCCTGTCCTGGGAGGCTCCAGAAGAGACCACACTCCCCATTCCCCACCGTACAACCCCAAGCTGACACTCTCCACGCCGGGCCGCTACTCTGACAGCATTGCCGTCCTCCGTTTTTTTGCTTCTTTTTTTTTTCCGCTGAGGAGATATAAATCCCCAGTGGATTTACCATCAACAAATCTTTAATCTATCCCTAATTCGTATCAAAAACGTCAAACAATGTCAGATCTGATGAGTTAAGCCAACCACACCCTTCCTCCCTCCTTCAGCGTGGGGAACCTCGCAGTCACACCTCCACCACTGTCCGTTCATCACCATTAAATCGTGCGATCTGCCTCCACACACACGCAAACACACAGCTTCTTTTCCCCATCCCCCCCTTCCACTTATGCTCAGATCGTCACATACACACATTCCCTTGCATCACTGCAGCACTTAGCGAGGGGGGAGGGGCACCGGCCGCTTCTGTGTGCATATGATCCCCTCTGCTCTTGCCATCTTAAGATTGTACACTTCCCTCCCTCCATTGGCCAACGAGCCGTCAGCACCTAATGTGTCCTTAACATGAGGTTTCACGTCTGTAAAAGTGTGCTAGGTGGGAAGTCGTTTTTCCTCTCCGGGCAAACTAAGGCACTTAAGTTGGTTTTTAAAAGCATTTTAGACCGGTGAAGAACTGACACACTCAAGTGTGTTAAGTGGAGTTTCTTACTGGATCTTTTCCCACTAAGGGGGTTGTGGTGATGTGAGGCGGAGGGAGTCTAGTGTTTTGCTCCTCTGCTGACTGTGGCGATGACCACTGGTGCACTGGACCAGAGGCCGGTGCAAATGTTAGCATTATCATCCATGCCCCCCTTTCACAAGCTCCATCTCACAGGCACGACACCAGTTTACCCCCCTCGCTAGAACCGAGCAGAGCAGTTTGTCCTCAGGTCTGCAGCAGAGGTGTATCGTCCCACTGTCCCGGTCAGCTGTGAAACAGCAGAATGTATTAAGGGGGTCATAATGTTTGGACACTGCTCAGAACAAAAGCTCCTCCTGTGCTGAAAAGAACTCAAATAACTGGAATGCTAGCAGACTGATGGGGATTGAATAAATGCTGATTTAAGTTTTTTTTAAAAAAATATGTTTGACGGATACATTGCAGATAACCCTGAGCGTGGTTCAGCCAATTGCGCTAATAATCTCATGCTGCTTTTCTGGAGCTCCTCGAGGAATCCCTGTTGAATGGCTTCCACGGAGCACCAGGCGAATTAATTTCTTTTTTTTTTTCTCATAATACATAAAACAATAAGGATCGTTAGAGACTGTCAACAATTGTTAGAATGAAGTGACTTGGCAGCTCGGTGTGTGTGTGTATGTGTGTGTGTGTGTGTGTGTGTGTGTGTGTGTGTGTGTG